CTAAAGGACTTATATGCATGCATATAAGCATAACCAATCTACACAGACACTAGAGGGGTGAGGGCATATGCTGTGGGGTGGGGGTGGCCAGTGAGAGGTCACTGGGAGAAAAGGGAGACATATGTAATACTAGATGTAATACTTTAAACAATAAATAATTTAAAAATAAATATATATATAACTTTGAAAGATTGAAAAATTATTATTTCCTATTAGTGGAGCACAGAGTTCTATCTATGCACACTTGATCAAGTTCATTTATTAGGGTGCTCAAATCTTCTATGTCCTAAATTATTTCTCTGCTTGATCTATTAGTAGCTAAAAAGGGGGAGTTTAAAGACTCCCACTATGATAATGGGCTTAATTTCTACAATTAGGTCAAGTTTTGCTTTGTACATTTTGAAGCAATGTTGTTAGTATTCTGTGGGTTTAAAATTGCTTTATTTTCTTGGTGGATTATCCTTTTATCATTTAGTAATAACATTTTTTAAATTTCAAAATCTACTGCTTGGTATTAGTATAATTACAACAATTTCTTTTTCATTTGCATTTGCCTAGTATATTTTGTTTCACTAAATTACTTTCAACTTTTCAGTATCCTCTCTGCTTTAAGTTTTGTCTCTTATAAACCACATGTATCTTAAAATACTTTTTAAATAATTTCTATTATTTGGCTAATTTAAAAATTTACATTTATTGTGGTTACTAGATAATATAATTGGACTTATTTGCATCTTTTTGTTTTGTTCTTTATGTTTACTATGTGTGTGGGATTTTTTACTTCCTGTTCTCCCCAAGCATTATTTTCCTTCCTTCTGGTGGAGTTGTCACATTTTCTTTGTTCCTCCATTGCTTTAAAAGTTATATATTCCATTTATTTTTACTTTAATGTTAATGCTTATACATGAACTCCTGACTTAAAATATGTAATGCCTCTATCTTCCTTCTTAATGTGATAAGGGTCTTAGAATGCTATACCTCCTATCTCCTCCCATTCTTCTGCCATATTATTACTTTCCAATATTTTAATTATATCTTTTAAAAATTATTACTATTTTTTCCATTATTCCATGTTTTACTTTTTCCATTCTCATTTTAAATTCCATTGCTGTTAAATAACATTATTTAGTTACTATCCTGGTCTTTTAATAATCTGCTTTTTATAACAAACTAGAGGCCTGGTACACAAATTCATGTACCAGTAGGGTCTCTTGGCCTGGTCTGTGGGATCGGGCCGAAATGGGCTCTCCAACATCTCCTGAGGGGTCCCAGATTGCGAGAGGGTGCAGGCCAGGCTGAGGGACCCCCACCAGTGCATGATCAGGGCTAGGGAGGGACGCAGGAGGTTGGTCAGCCAGGGAAAACCACAGGAGGGCTCCAGAGCATGACCGGCCTCACTCAGTCCTAATTGACCAGACCCCAGCAGCAAGCTAACCTACCAGTTGGAGTGTCTGCCCTTTAGTGATCAGTGTAAGTCATAGCGAGCAGTTGAACAGCCTTAGTTTATCATTAGCATATTATGCTTTGATTGGTTGAACAGATGACCTGACAATTAGCATATTAGGCTTTTATTATATAGGATAATTTGCAATTAAAGTGAATACTGCCTTGATCATTATTTTTCTTTCAGATCCATATTCTCTAATCATCACTTTGTACTGAACAGTTTTATAAATGAGCCTTCAAACAGAGCTGATCTTGAAAAAATGCACAAGGTTAGTATTTCTTATCTGAGCTAAAATAAATCTAGGAATTTCTTTTTTTTTTTAAGTCAACAAATATTTAAGTCAACAAAAAAATGAGAATGAAGATACTTCCTAGAATATATACTTATACTCTCTCCATATATAAAACCAAACTTGCAAAGGATATTTTTATAAACATAGTTCTTTCCTTCTTTTATTGAAGATTCAAATAACATTAAGCAGCAAATATATTTGGCAAATTACTAATGGAAAAAAATTCTCTTCCACAGATATAGGAAAAGGAATTGGTTTACAGGCTAGCTTATATGAACAAACTATTGCCTCTAAAGACTTTTTATGAATTTAAGAGTAACATTGAATGATTTCTAACACGTGAAATCAATATAAGTTGATCTTGATTTAAAAAGAAAATCAGAAACAGACATTGAAAAAAATGCCTCATAAACATCTGCACATATCTACTGTAGATGGGGAGATATAGCATAAACTTCAGAAAGCATTATTCTATCTCACTTATTTTTTTATTGTGGAAAAGTATACACAACAAAATTATTCATTCATTTTTACAGAGTGGTTAAGCGGCATGCCTAAGACCACTCAGAAAAGATGAAGTCCTAAATGGTTTGTGGTTCGACAATTGTGAAGACTAGTTGTTGGGGTAGAATGGGTGTGGTTCGGGGAAGGTGGAAAGGAATAGGATTCTACATGTTCAGGCTAATGGGATTTTCCAGCAGAACCATACTTGGAGTATTCTGGTTAGCCAGCAGAGGTTGACCATGCAGTCGAGAAGGGGAAAGAGGACAAACACGAAGGCTTCTCACCAACCACCCCCAAAATAAATATAACTAAAGGCTCAGTCCACTTTTTAATCATTAAAATGTTAGAGAGGAAAGTCCAACACTTCAGATTTGCTTTATCAAGAATAGTTCTTTTGCTTCCGGGGGACTGCAAGTCTGGATCAATAGCTAGGTCATTAGGATGGCTCAGAGGCCTGCAGGACTTAAGAGTAACTTTCATTTGTGTGGAGCACTGCTTGATGAAAAGGGAACAAAACTAATGAGATCTCTATGTTTAAGGATCTCACCATATCAGTGGAAGACACATGTTCAAAGGCCAGAAAGAATCAGTAACTGGATCCAGGCCTTTAGGAAAGGGAGCAGCGTGTGCCAGGGTGGTAAGGCAAGGACATCTGGCCTGGGTGTGTATGGCCTACATCAAAGTCTTAACACAACACCACTCACTATTTACTGATTGCCTACTTCAGTGCCAGGCAACAGACTGGGCACTATTTTTTCTTCATAATACTTCAATAGAGGCAGGCATTATTATTTCCATTTTACAGATGAGGAAATGGACTCAGAGAGGTCAAGTACATGTAATTCGTTGAAAGCAGAGGTAGGGATTTAAACCCAGGTGTGACATAAGAACCAAGCTTTATTAGTTTGCCTTATAACCCCTTCCATCACAGTAATGGAAGGAACAGCCTTTCAACTTGTATCTTAAAACACTTTCGTTGGCATGGCTCAGTGGTTGTGCATCAACCTATGAACCTGGCAGTCAGGGTTCGATTCCCGGTCAGGGCACATGTCTGGGTTGTGGGTTCGATCCCCAGTGGGCCTCATACAGGAGACAGTCGATTAGTGATTCTCTCTCATCAGTGATGTTTCCCTCTCTCTCCCTCTCTGAAATCAATAAAAATATATTTAAAAAACACTTTGTAGATATAACATATTTGAAAAAGGAAGGCAAAAAATAACCTCCATTCACCTGCTTACTCCTTCTTTAGCTCTCGATTTGAACATCATCTCTTCCAGGAGTCCTTCCCTGCTCTCCAAACTGGGCTAACCTTCCAAAACAAGAGCCACCGTCCTTCATGTGCAATTTCAAAAGCCAACAAGCTCTGAAAATTTCAAATATTTTCCTAAGTTTGTTTCAAGCTCATTTGGTGGCAAAAGATGACCTGAACTGATATGAAACTATTTTCAGTCTTTACTCTTCTACTCAGTGTGAATATTCATATTCTGATGTGGAAATAATAATGTGTTTGATTAAGGGGTGCTGCTCAGACTCCATTGCAACTATTATAGAACTAGAGGCCCGATGCATGAAATTCATGCAAGAGTAGGCCTTCCTTCCTTCAAAATTCATGCAAGAATAGGCCTTCCTTCCCCCAGCTGCCGGCACCGGTCCCTCCAGCACCGGTCCCTCCAGCACCCAAGACCCGGGCTTCCCTCTCGACCCCAGCTTTGTTTGGAAGACCATCTGGTCTAATTAGCATATTATGCTTATAATTAGTATAGATATATAACATATGCATATTACTTTTCTAAAGATCCAAACATTTTTGACTTGCAAACCACATCTGGACCCAGGGTTTTCAGACGATGGATACTGGCCTTATACCCTATGCATAAATCTCACTGCACTACAAAAATTTATTCTTCTGTGTGAGTCCAGCCACCTGACCGAGTGCCTTGCATATAGTAGGGACACAATAAATATTTCCAGAATGAGGAAACAAGGCTGAGAAATTGGCTAAGAAGGGCTAATGGTTAGTGGCTTGGAAATGACCATGGCTCTCAACTTGAAGGCCAGGAATCTAACCTTGGAATGCCACTTCCTTCTCTGGCAGGAGGGTCCTATAAATAGTTGCTGTTGATGGAAGGCAAGCAACATAGCTGCTGTCTTCACTAGGAATAAAAATAGTACAGTTTTCTTAGATGGCGGGTCCACATATAGCATTAGGCTGGTAACACAAAACAGCAGGCATACTCATCCTTCAGACCATATGAGCAGCTCAGAGGTCCCCAGAGTTTGGGACCCGACCTGCATTTGGGTCTGACCCCAGTAACCTTTCTGGCCCGCAGTTTGCTCATCTGTGAAGTGGCAACCAGAATAAGTCCGAAGGCCCTGCCAGGCGGGTTGCTAACAAGGTGACCCACGGGAGGGACAGCAGACAGTCTCCCCGCACTCCGGGTGAGATGCAAACCTCAGGAGTTTCTTCATGCCTGTCTACTGTCCTCGAAGTTCAGAGTCCATCCTTCTCATTCCGTGGGCTCCGGCCAACCCACACACACGTCTTTCATCCAAAAGAAGAGAGTCAATGCAAAAAGACAGTGGGCAAAAAGTTCTGTGAAGATTGGCCACCCAGCCTTTTTTGATCCCCTCATAGAAGGTGGGGTGGGATGGAGGGGAGGGAGCAATCACAGGCCAGCAGGATTTAATTTACAGAGGAAAGCTCTTAACCGCAAAGTCTCAGGACCCAAGAGGGGACTGGGGATGACCCCTTCTTACCTGGTAACACAGGATGGTTTGCTGCACCAGCCTAGCGTAGCCGTCCAAGCGGACCCCGGAATTGCTTCTGCTCCTCATTTCGGCGATGCTGGGGTGGGGGTTGGGGGGAGACACGACGCTGCACCCGACTTGCTGCGTGGAGGTGGGACACCGGGCTGCGGCTGTCAAAGGGGCCTGCTTGCCAAACACTCAGTCTCGGTCAGTTCTTGGGCTGGAGCCCAGCAGTCAGAGGTCGGAGCTAACAGAAAAGATAGGATCTAAGTGTGATTGGAAAACAAGCAGAGTTTCAAGAGGCTGGCAGGCGCGGGGGCTGGGACGGAGGCTGGCGCTCCTGGGGCCCCGCGGAGAGGATAGGGAACTGGAATCTGGGCGCGGGACTAGGACCTGCCCGCCGAGCCTTTTTCGTCTAAAGGCAGTCGGGAGGAGGCCCGGGGGAGGACCCAGAGCCCGATCCTACTCGACAGCCGCGGCCCTGCCCCCTCCACATCTCCCACCGAACAGAACTCCCCGCGGCCAGAGGGGAAGAAGAATGGGGAGATCCGCGGGAGCAGCAAGGACCCCTGCCCCCTCCGGGTGCCCATTACCTACCCGGGGGCTGCCGATCGCAGGGGAGGCTGGAGAAGGAGAGCCGCTTGCTGCAGCTACCTAGAATGCCCGACCCGCCTAGGCCCCGCCCACGGCCCCACCCCCGCCCCGCCCCCGCCGCGGAGCGGAACTCGGAGCAAGGTAGGCGTGGGCTCCGCTAGGGGCCCCAGACACCCCCAAATCCCTGCGGCGCGACGGGCCCCGCCTTTCCAAGGTGAGTTTACAGACTGCACCCGGTCCTGCCCTCTAATCCCGCCCCCAGGTCTGTCCCCAACAGCCCAGCGGAACCCTCCAGAGGCGTGGGGGGGAGGAGGGCTCAGGCTGGGCAGAGGCAGCCTGAAGGAGGCTCCCAGGATGAGCTGCCAATCTCACCAGAGGCGGGAAAAAGAAACCCGCCCCTGAGGCCTCCCGGGCACCCCTCCAGGGGCCTGATTCCTTGCTATGCCCTTGGCTGAGTCTCGAGTGGAAGCGGACTAGTGGGGTCCAGTAGGGAGGAGAAAAGGGTCCCTAGCGCCCCCAGTCCCACTCCTAGTCATCTGGACGCTGCTCACCTGGCCAGGCCTGCAGTTAATCTCATAGGCCTACAATTTGAAACTTAGATTTGTTTATTGTGACCCATAATCACCCACACTTCGCAATTATTGGCCCAGTATTCATTTTCCACCAAAATCTGGCCCCACATGAATTCCACTGGACAGCTTCTCTAATGTAATCATTGTTTCCACGAGCCCACAGCTAGTCCCCATACATTTACTGTCTGCTTGCTCTACCCCACAGGCCCTCCTCCTCCTCCTTGCCTATCTGAAGCCCATCTTTCCTTTAAATGTCCTCATAGTTCCTCCCTCCAGTTAGCCCTCCCTGTTCTCTGAATTCCCATAACAATTTCTTTACTAAGAGCTTAGGTCTTGGAGTGAATTCAAATTGACTTGAAATTCCAGATCTGACATGTACAGGTGGTGTGAGTTTAGGCATGCTGTTTTAGCTGTTTCAGATTCACTGTTTTCATCTGTAAAATGGGGTAATAATAGGGTGGTTGTGAAGATTAAGAGGATGAACCAGCACTTAGTACCATGCATGGTTCCCAGAAAAGTACTTCATAAATCATAGGTGTTTTCATCATCATTTGACGACAATGTATTGCCTTATTGTAATTGTTTTCATGTACAGCATGTTTTTCTAACTGGATTGTAAGGTAGTATATATGGAAACGGTCATTGATATTTCCTACAATGTCTGCTATGGTGTTGAGCATGTAGTTATAGTTCAATTAATATTGAGTGAATGAATGAATGAATGAATGAATGAATGAAAATCAGTCCTGCTCAGCTGGGTCCCTCTATGTATAATCCCTGATCAGGTTCATTAAAAAAATTCTGTAACATAAATCTGTGTCACTCAACTAAAGTGCCAAATCCTTCATCTCTCACATCGTTTTTTTGTTTTTGTTTTTGTTTTTTAATTTTCTTACTTAACTGTCTGGATAACTTTGTTTTTTTAATTCCTGATCTTCTACTTTATTTATCCAGATTGTCCCCAGGCCAGTGGGAGATCCACCAAGGGAAGTTTGTGATCTAGAGGTTCTTGAGCTCATAAACCTTTTACAGATAGCTCAAACCTCCCCCATATAATCTTTGTCCAAACTTCTAAGCTCCACCCTAGTCTCTCCTCTCTCAAAACCATGGCTTTGTTCTCTTTAATACACACGTGTCTCCAATTTTGCTGAATGAGCCATGATTTTGCCAATGCAGCATTTCTAATTCTGAATACAGATTCCATATATTCTATTTCTACCTTCAAAGCTTATCACAGAAATCATCCCCAAACACAAGTGACTACATAAACAAAGCATTTTACATACTTTTTAAAAATGTGTATATAGAAATATTTTGTATTTTTTTCTTTTATATATATACCCTCCCTCCCCTCCCATATATACCCTCCCTCCCCAGAGTTTTGTGTCCATTGGTTGTATTTATATGCATGTATACAAGTCCTTCAGTTGATCTCTTATCTCCCCCAGATATCCCTATCCTCCCCGCTATAATTTGATAGTCTGCTTGTTGCTTTACTGTCTTTGGGTTCATCAGTTTATATTTTTTTATTTTATTTTTTATTCTTTATTGATTAAGGTATTACATATATGTTCTTATCCCCCAGTGCCCCCACCCCCCAATTCGTACCCTCATCCGCCTAGTGTCTGTGTCCATTGGTTATGCTTATATGCATGCTTGCAAGTCCTTTGGTTGATCTCTCCCCCTTTCCCCCACCCTTTCCTGCCCTCCCTCTGAGGTTTGATGGTCTGATCGCTGCTTCTCTGTCTCTGGATCTGTTTATGTTCATCAGTTTATGTTGTTCATTACATTCCACAAATGAGTGAGATCATGTGATATTTATCTTTCCCTGACTGACTTATTTCGCTTAGCATAATGTTCTCCAGGTCTCTATTGGATAACTTTCTTAAATTATTCAGCAATTCATGTGCTGTACCTCCATGCAGAATTTACTATGGTCTAGGGCAGAGGTTGGCAAACTCATTAGTCAACAGAGCCAAATATTAACAGTACAATGATTGAAATTTCTTTTGAGAGCCAACTTTTCTAAACTTAAACGTCTTCTAACGCCACTTCTTCAAAATAGACTCGCCCAGGCCGTGGTATTTTGTGGAAGAGCCACACTCAAGAGGCCAAAGAGCCACAGTTTGTCAACCATGAGTCTAGGGGTAAATAAAACTAGACATTAAGTTATCGCCAATTAAACCTCTTTTGTAATCTAAATATGTATACTTACTAGAACTCTCATATATTCTTCTGCATCTAAGAGCTGGGATCATTGCTTCTTTTCATTACTGCTTTACTCACATTGAGTGCTTCTTCAAGAGTCCATTTTGCAGCCATAATAAATAACTGATGACCTTTGCTTATTACCTGGCATTTCCATCCAGTATAGAAACATTTTCATTTCCTGATCTCATTTTTTACACATATACACCCTTTTTGGTATATACCCAGCCTACATTCTTAGGCTTTGATCTATGTGTCAATGTATATTATCATATGAGCTATATTTTTCAATCAGCTTGAAATTCAGGAATAAAACCAAGAAGGAAGACTATTACTTATTAACTTTTAAATTTTCAAGTGAATTTTAGTGACTAGATTCGCTTTGGACTAGAAGCTGTGCTATATAAAAACGAGACATGTCTTAGTATCCTTGTGTCCCTGAGATATAAAAACTCTACCTCTTGGACCCCATACCCATGAAGCCTTTTTCTGGTTGGGATCCAATAGAAACCTGTTTCTTGATCATTTCTCAAATATTTGTCAGAAATCAAATATGAATGTGATGAGGTATGTTGTTGTTTCTGTAGCTGGTTCATGATCTTCATAAAGGTGAAACCCCAGAACTGGATCCCCGAGTAACAGCATGTCTGATTTCTCCGATTCCAGTCAGAGTATCTACCCATTGTCTTGCCACAGGGACTTCAGCCAAGGAAGTCCTCAGAGAACCACATGTCAGCATCCAAAACAGAAACCAATAAGTGGGTTCAAATCTTTGACTTTAAAGAAAGGCATTCCATCTCTTACACAGAGGAGAGGGTCCATTCTAAACCAATTTGCTGAAAATAGCCAATTAGCTAAATTTAGTTATTTCTATGGCACTTTAACTTTAATTGACTGGAAATAATTTTGCTTTTCATCACTGCTCCAGCTTCCTATAGTTAGTTTGAGGTTGAGAAGTAAAGAGAGGAAACATCAGGGAGCATAAGATTTCTTCATGGTGAAGAATATATGTATTTAAAAGAACATATTCTCAAGCAATGTGTTCAATTTTTGTCCACCTTAGGTTTTTGATACTGTACCTAGGACTGAGGTAAAAAGAAAATACTGATAAGAATTCGTCCTGTTCAAAGTTATGTTCATATGACCAGATTTTCCCTTTTATTATCATTCAGACTCCAACCATAGCAGCAAGGAGCTGAGGCAGAGGTAAACTGAATAGTCTTTAAAATGCTGTTATGGAGACAAAATGACAACATACAACTCCACTTGTTAAAGCGCCCTTTTAGTAAATTAGCTCTCTTCAAAATGGCCTTCAACAAAATAACCTGTCTCCTGGGTAACCTCATTAGACACAACCAAGTATCCCAAATGAAGCCATTTCACCATTGCTGCCGAGAGCTGCTCATTGAAGTTAATAGAATTACTTTAGGAATTAATGATTGTAGTGTGTTTGGGGAAAAAACTTATTGAATGTTCTGAGGAAATATTTCAAATACTGGCCACTCCTGTGACACTCCTCACCTCCTTGTATTGGCACCACCTCTATCTCCTTCAGTAGAGTCTCAGATTGTGGGACCAATTTTAAACCCAAAGGAGGATGCTTCTCAGGAACATTCTCTGTCCCACCCCTTATCAGTCTGAAGTAAAACAAACAGACAAGACAATTTGACTTAAGGACATAAAACAGGAAAAATAAGGGGGGTGGGACCTAAAGGACACCAGACACTGTGCATCCTGCTGTGTATACTTTGGCTTCATAATCTGCTTCATATTTGGTTTCTGAGACCTTACCCCTCAAATCTAGAGTGTCTGACCATGTTGGCCATGTGGGCCAATGGCAACATGCTAATGCCGCGACCCTTTAATACAGTTCCTCGTGTTGTGGTGACCCCCGACCATAAAATTATTTTCATTGCTACTTCATAACTGTAATTTTGCTACTGTTATGAATCGTAATGTAAACATCTGTGTTTTCCAATGGTCTTAGGCGACCCTGCTAGCGGCTCTCAACCTGTGGATTGCGAAATCACAGTTATATAAATTGCAATAGTTTTTCATTGCAACATTCCCAATAGTTATTCCCCCTTGTCACTATACACTCTTTGAGACTAGAGCTCTTATTAAAAAATAACTATAGCTCCGGCTGGGCCAAATAGAAAGGTTGAGAACTACTGTGTTAAAGAGATAAGCTTTGAAGAATAAGAGGAAAAGGAGAGAAATCAGAAAGTGATTCTCATGAGACAGAATAAACCTTGCTCTAACTTCGAAGTCACAGTGTGCCTCTTATTTGCCAATCTTAAAGTCATCTTAATCTGGTCTGTCCTTCTACTTCCATGTCACATCTCCAGGGAAAGGACCTGAAATGTTTTCTCTTTCAAACTTAAAAGAATTAACTGCAAATTGATGGTTTAAATGTATTTTTATTGGTTTCAGAAAGGAAGGGAGAGGGAGAGAGAGAGATAGAAATGTCAGTGATGAGAGAGAATCATTAATCCGCTACCTCCTGCATGCCCCCCACTGATGATCCAGCCTGCAGCCCCGGGCATGTGCCCTGACTGGGAATTGAATCATGACCTCCTGGTTCTTAAGTCGACGCTCAACCACTGAGTCATGTTAGCCAGGTTGCAAATTTATTTTGTCAATTTAATATTTTGGTCAATTTTAACATATAAATACAAGACAATTAAATAAATTGGCGAAGAAATATTGCAAAGGCAAATCAGTACTCATAGAAGTATATTACACTATTGCGGTGGTTAATCTGGGATACAACATTCACTTGAAATATATGCGAGGGAACCTTAGTGAAAGACTCAACTGAAAGGTTTTGATTAACTAAAGAGTTGTGAAATGCTCCGAACAAGAACACACTTGAGACACTGCTCACACAGCTGTAGGTGGGAAGCACGATAGACTCTCTATAACTAGGAGCAATAGGGTTTGATACATATGAAAATAATAGCATTGCAGGACAGTTCACCATTCCCAATAGCTAGTCCCCCTTGTCACTATACACTCTTTGAGACTAGAGCTCTTATTAAAAAATAACTATAGCTCCGGCTGGGCCACAGAGTACCAGTCATAACAATCAACAAAGTACCATGCAATTGCTTTTTAAAGAACAGCAATATGATTTTTTTCTTTATATACATCTCCTTTAAAAAGTAAACCTTATGCTACTCCCCTTTTCTGAAAGGCTCTGGGGATTTGAGAAAGAGGCAGTGTATGTATCTCCTCCCCATTCACGATTTTCTTGACATATGGTCTAGATTATACTTCCATCCTTCTCTGTGCCATGGCATTAAACTAAACATCTTGGTGCAGATTCCATAATTTAATAATTAGGGATAAGGCCAGGAGATGGGTATCGGATGCCATGTTTCCTGGTGTATACAATTTACACTCTGTACGAGGGTGCACCCTCGTGGATGAGTGGGGCTAAAATATGGCCTCCACTCTGCCAAACTATGAGCCCATGGGGCTGTGTCTGTCTAGTGGGGTACCTTTTTTTTTTTTTTTTTTTTTTTTTTTTTTTTTTTTTTTTTAACTTGCTCAAAGGCATTGTATAAGCTAATTGTGCCATCATCTGCTTACATTTTTTTCCAGTTTGGCTGGCATCATTATTTCTTGATTTGAATGAAGTTTCTGTGTTTCACATCCCATGTAATCTCCAAAAGGAGTTTTCCAACTCAGTGAACCAGTAAGATTTTTTTTTTTTTAGTTATCACATTAGACACAACAACACAACCATGATTCTACAAAGAAATAAATTTACACACTAGAAAATAAATACCAAAAAAATGAAGAAGTAAGATTGCTGATGTATGAGTCACTAGAATTTAGCTTAGTATTTACAACAAAAACATGCACAATTAAACTCACCAACAGGCTGACATCAACAGTTGCTTTATATTATGTTATCAAAGATAACACAACTTAACCTCTTTAAAAGGTGGCTGGAAATGAACTACTTATATTTTCTTTAAAGAAATCTTTAGGAAGTTGTTTAAAACCAATCTTCTTTTAAAATGAAGGATAAAAAACCAAGTTGCAAATGTCTCAGAATGTCTTGGCTTTCTTTTCCAATTGTAACCACTGCCCTCACTTAGCTTATGCTCCTCCAGAAGTTGCTGAGTATAAAATGAATTGATTTTCATACATCTCACATTGTGGAAAAGGTAAAAATGGACATTTTCACACTATCAAGTGTCATGCTTTGATTTCAGAGAAAGGAATCACATTTGCTCAATAAAGTGTAAGCTTCCTCGTTTTGAAGTCCTTCTGAGAGCGATGCGACTTTTACCATTACAGGAATCTTCTTTCTCATTAAACATGTGCTGTTTTCCAGTGAAATCATGAAGGCACACATCTCCATTCTGAACACTGAAAGAAACACCATTCTTCTCTGTAGGAGCATTCCCTATGTAATGGAAAACAAAATTGGTGTCATGAAGTATCCACAGAAGGCATTTTAAAAATACACAATCTCCAACATCATTTTATTATGTTTTAAAATGTTCATGATATATTATTTTATTTACTTTCATTCCTTCCCTAAGGCCACTCAAAGTAAGCAAAACAAATTGGAGAATGTTTCCTCTATGACTGTTTTTAAAAATGCAATGCTCAAAATATGGAGCAAAACAATATATTTGATTTTAAAGGGCCCATTTCCTAACTCTGGTTGAACATACTAGTATATTGACTTCTTCAAGTGGTAGCCTATATTTGATATAACCTAATATGATAGTCTGATCTACCCCAAAAGGTTAAGGTTAACAGAGATGCCCATATGTCCTCTTACAAGGTTCTTGGTTCCCTAAGCATCCTAGAAAATAAAACTTTGTACCAGAGAAATCCAGAGCAACAACAGTTATGACAAGAAAAAAAAAATCATTTCTTATAAACTACTTGTAAACCAGCCCCTCTGACTAGATCAGGATAGGCTTGCTTCCCAAGGGGAAACCAATTCCTACAATAGAGTCTAGGCCAGGGAGCTGCTGGGCATGCAGAAACTATGGTTTGGATCTGGGCCTCCCTGACACCAGGATGACCCTGAAGTGTGTGTGTGTGTGTGTGTGTGTGTGTGTGTGTGTGTGTGTGTGTGTTGGGTGGGGTAGGCAAGGGGACATGCACAGCAGCTGAGACTCTCTGGTTTCTTTATAGCATTTTAGGCTGTGCAGTATTAAGCTGTCAGTGGGATACCCCCCTGAGGGGTCCCAGACTGGGAGAGGGCACAGGCCAGGCTTAGGGACCACCCCTGAGTACATGAATTTTGTGCACCAGGCCTCTAGTTAGAAGACAATGTGGAAAGCTGAATAATAAGCCAATTTGTTCATGCCATAACTATAATAATGATAACAGTGCTGAAAACTTTAGAAGTATTATGTCATTTATTACCCTACCTGATAGTGCAATTATTATCTCCATCTCAAGGTGATGATGAAACTAAGGTTTTAAAATTTAAGTGCTTTGCTTAAGGTTAAATGGCTCAGAAGTGATGGAGTCAACACGTGATGTTTCTTCCAAACTGAGCTTGTGGCCCCATGTATCAAGTGAGAGGGCTATTGGTACACAAACCTTTAAGCCAGACAGTAACTGAAATATGTAATATTCACACAAACTACGTGATAAATATTGTTAACACAGCTCCATCTCTGACATAGCTGAGGCAGCTGTCTTGATTTAAGCATTTTGATTTGAGGACATTTTAGTGCAGGAACAATTTTACCTGGTATAATAAAGCATTACATTTCCAGAATTTTTGCAAGTGCCTATCCCATCCCTTGCCCATTCCAGATCCTGGTGTGCAGATTGAGGAGTCGGGGATATCTATCTGACATGCATTTTATGTGGTATTAAACACTTGGCCATTTTGTTGGCCTAAAATGCCAACATTTTATCATCAGGCATCAAAAATAGCTGTGCCAAATCAGCAATGTCAGACAGCTGTGCAAACTCTGCTGCTTCCCTGAAGGATGGCAACATATTGATGGCAATATTTGCCGACCACTGAGATAGGGGCTTAATCACAAGGAACAACAACAGCCTGTAATTATTGGAATCGAGAGTCTAGGTCAGTAGTCGGCAAACTCATTAGTCAACAGAGCAGCAAACCACCGCAGTTTAACGAGCTGCAGTTTGCCGACCACTGGGCTAGGCAAATAAGGCTTCATGTCAGCACTTCTAGAATATGCAAAATTCTGGCTTTTAAGAACCCCTAACACTTCTATCTAAGCCAGTGTTTCCCAAACTTTTGACATATGTACACCCCATCTATAATTTTCGTAACGCTGAGTACCCCTCGTACTCATGAGAACGAAGAATTAGGTGCAGCTAAGCACGGTGCAGTGCATATCCCCACCAAACTCTGGTGCAATGCATACCCCCACCAAACTCTTCCCATACCCCTGGGGGTACGCGTTCCACACTTTGGGAAACACTGAAGTAGGCTTTACTGATATGTTGTAATTCTTGATTCACCTTGCACCTCTGATTTGTCTACTTTGAACTTGCTTTGTCATAATAACTTATGAATCAGCATTGTCACTGGCCCACCCTACACAGAGGACATTTCCCAATGTCTAAAGACATTTTTTAATATATATATTTTATTGATTTTTTTACAGAGAGTAAGGGAGAGGGATAGAGAGCTAGAAACATCGATGAGAGACAGACATCGATCAGCTGCCTCCTGCATACCCCCTACCGGGGATGTGCCCACAACCAAGGTACATGCCCTTGACCGGGATTGAATCTGGGACCCCTCAGTCCACAGACTGACGCTCTATCCACTGAGCCAAACTGGTTTTGGCTAAAGACATTTTTAATTGTCATAACTAGGGGTGAATGGGGAGGGTTCTATTGGTATTGGTTGGATGGAGCCAGAGATGTTGGTAGATATCTCAGAATGCACAGGTTGAGTCCACCACAACAAGGACTTAACTAGCTCCTAATGTCAATTGTGCCAAGGCTGAGAAACTTCAACTTAGAGGCATCTTCGGGGAGGTTGGAAATCTATTTGGTAGGTCTATGTATGAACTTACAAATTTATTTGAATTCATCATGAAAATAACTAATATCCTAAAACAATGAATAAAGGCAAAATCTCCAGGGAAGGAGAAAGTATATAAGCATCATTTAAGTTATTATAAAAATGCAGAAGATATATTAAGAAGCCAAAGAAGACAAGCTTTCATGAGTAATAAACAATACACACTTATGAAAGAAAGAAAATGTAATGGAAGTTTTATCTAGAAGTGTCAGAATTAGTGAGTAAGCCAGGTGCAGCAGCAATAATCTGTTCGTGATTGACCATGTTGTGATGATTCATGTGGTGACAATGTATGTCACCAATACTGGTTATAGTATTTGATATATTTATGGGGATTTGGGCACTGTCCCAAGGCAGCTACACTGTGGAAAATAATGAACAAACATGACAAGTGAAAAATAGGAAGGTTTAAAAGGGTCAAAGATGTGTATGACTATAGATAAAGTAAAATTGATATAATTTTATCAATTATCTTAGGTACTGCTTGCTCAGATTTAACACAGAAGTCTTTGGGTAATACTTAAATCAGGATTTCCAATGTTAAAACTTTTAGGTTTGTCATCAATTACCATCATAAAAAAACTGAATCTTAAAAAAAACAACCACCAGATGTCCAGGTATTGGCTCTAAAGTGAATACATTTGGATGAATAATCTTTCTATTTTATAAGGTAACCACACTTTGACCCACTTGCCATATATGTACTTGCTTGCTTTGCTTAGCAAAAATGTCATTACAAGATAATAATACTTTAATAAAATAAACACTAGCTTGAGAAATACTATATTGAGAAATACATACCATTCCCGCTCACAAGTCCTGAGCAATCATTATTCACTAGCAGAGTGGTCGAGTGGGTGGAGTTACTATTTGACTGTAGGGAATTTGAAGAGCTGGACACGCCTTGGTTTACAGTCTGCTTTTTTAAACCATTAGTAGCCGTTTTACTCCAGTCTGAGGTAGAATAAGCATTACAGAAAAACAGGGCGGAATGTTGAAACTCAAAGGCAAGAGACAAATCACAGTGCAACTTGTTCTAGCGACTGATCTCCCACTTCCAGATCTTATAGAGAAGTCATATAGTTCACAAGTTGGTGTGATAACATGTATTTTCATTTGAGGCTAAATATATTTGTCCTTTAAATGACTACCTGGTTAAAAGTAACATATTCTCATGGAACTAAAGGCCAAGTTAATTTGATTATGTCTATATACACTGAGTGGACAGATTATTATGATCTCTTAAAGCATAATAATCTGGCCACTCAGTATATATATTAGAGGCCCAGTGCATGAATTCGTGCATGAGTGGGGTCCTGCCAGCCTGGCCAGGGGGAGAGGACATGGGCAGTTGGCCGGCCTGCCAGCTGGTCAAACTCCTGGTTGAGGGGACAATTTGCATATTAGCCTTTTATTATATAGGATATATACTGAGTGGCAGATTATTATGCGTTCAGAGATCATAATAATCAGGCCACTCAATGTATATCCACTGAATTAGGTAGTACTTCAGAGCCAAAGGACTGTCATAAGAACATATTGACCATGTTGTGATGACTCATGGTTCTTAAATCCATGCAAATGACTAAACTACATTTACTGTTATTTTCTAAATATAGATCTTGTGCAACCGGATTTTGCAGTTCGACAAAGGTTGTATTCATGGGTGGTAATAATGCGAAAGGAATTTAGTTTTCAGACAGTACTTAATTTTTCTTATTTTCCTAAAAATGACCTATTTGCTCTACAGGCCAACAGGACCTGAAATATTATAACTTCAAAATAATAAAATGTATGCTATAACCAAACAACCAAATGTATGAAAGTTTATATACAAGTTTGAGTCAAGATTTAAAAAGTTATGAAGGTAAATATTAAAAATTAGTTTGAGTAAATGGGAAACATTAGCTCAAAAGGAAATAAATTCTAACATGTTCACTGTTGTTTCAGTCAAGAAGCCAGACATTAATTCTATTGCTCACTAAGTTCCCAGATATAAATAATTATTATTTTTAATTCTTTAGGTTTTTTTTTTTACCTCTAATGTGCACAATCAATATTTTTTATTGTGCATGTTCCATTCATTGATTTCCATATCCGATAACCTTTTGGCATATATTGCTTTGAATCTTATACATTTTTTCCCTCAAAATTTAGAAGGATAAAAAGAAAAGTAAATCATTACCAGAATTTTCAGCCAGCCGTAACTTTCCACAACAAAGATACCGCCTCCATTGCTTTCTGACATTCTCTTTTGCTACACAGTAAAAGATGAAGATGAAGAATCCTATGGGAGTGGGGGGAGAAGACCCATAACACAATAAATTCCAAATTATGACCTTAATGTCATGAGCTTCCTTTGCACAAAAGATAAAATCTTTGGCAAAGATATAGGCAAAGTGAAATTTACAAATTGGGGGAAAAAATTAAAGTCTTGGATAAGTATGCTTATCAAAAATCACCCTGGGACACTTTCTATGTATGATTAAATATATTTATAAAATGAATGGTGATTCTGTATTTCTAATATTAAGCTCACTGTCTCTTCTCACATTCTATCTATGGAAGTACAAGCTATCCACCTGGATGCCTGCTCAGACCTAAGCTCCTACCTCCCAGCTCCTCCATATTTATAATTGACTTCCAAGCTCTGTCTTCACCATAGGTCTCAGATCCCTTGCTCCTCCTTTCAGGCCCTCGCCAGGTCTTCCCCCTCTTCCTCTCAAGCCTGGGGCACTGCAGCAGCATCCCCCTGCCTTCCTCTAACCTGCTCAAGGAAACTTTCCACTGGCATCCTGGTTAAGAAGAAAACAACACTCCAGTCTTTAACAGGCCCTCAGGCTCCACCTCCTACATACCTCTGTCCTAGTTTTGCAATCACAGGGCTCACCACATAGCCCCGTTACTGTGACTCCTCAATGCTTTCCCCAATAAATATTTGCTGAATGAAGGGGAAATTTTGGAGTTCTTCGTCTCCCCAAACCCCAATCTATCTACTTTAAAAATCTTCATTTAAAAACAAGAGGTGTTCCTTTTCAGGTGCCCACTCTAAAGACTGGTATTTTGAATACAGCATGCACACCTTTGTTCATTTGCCACCCTCGGTGGCTACTCTTGGTTGCCTTAGGGGAGAAGTAGCATGTATGAAAGAGATCAAAATGGGGTTAGGCAAGTCCCAAATCAGAGCCTATACCTATTTCTCCTTTAATCAACACCAAAGCCCTGCAAATTAGGTTCCCTTTTATAAATGAAATAGTACATTTCTTCTATCTGTTCATATTCTAGTGAAAAGACATTCTGGGGAAATGAAGAGACGGGCAGGTTCAGTTTCCCTTCCTAGGCTGATGCTCTAACCACTGAGAGCACTGGCCAGTGCAGCAGTTCCATTTTTAATTTTTTGAGGAAACTTGGTACTCTTTTCCACAGTAGATTGCAGCAGGCTGCATTCCCACCAGCAGTGTACTAGAGTTCCCTTTATCCACCTTCTCACCAGCACTTCTTATTTGTTTTATTTTTTTCTCCCCAAGTATCTCTTACTTATAGCATGCCATTGTTGACAAATAAAACTTTTCTATTTAATACTATGCAGTGCAGCATCTAGATATACCAATTCAGGAACTGGTATGTTGTAGGTTAAAATTAATAACTGTATGTAAACAACAAGCATGTTAGACACTTGAATTCATTCTCAGGTTGGGTTTACTTTGAAAACAAACAAATTGATCTCTTGCCTAAGAACTATAGGAGAATGCTATGGAAGCTAAAAGTAGCAGGAAAAGATGAAAACAGGCTGATGAGAATGCAATTAAAAGGCATCCCAACAGAGGCTTTGGAATAAAAGGGAACCAAGGGATATGGATTATTGTTATGTAATGTAAACTTATTAGGCTGCTTGGCTTTTAATGCCAAAGTACTGTACTTCCATTAAAAATTAATCAGAGCTGGTAAGTCTTTTGTAACACTGGTCTAAAAGAATTAGTATTTTGCTTTTCCACAGAATATAGCGAAAAGGGTTCAAAATGACTCCAGCTGGGCTTCATTAACAAACGGGAAGCTCTTAAGTAAAGGTGACACACGAAACCTGACCCTTTCCTGCTGCGTGTCCCTGCAGAGCAATGTCTCAGGTTAGCCACTGGGTCAGGCTGCTGCCACTTGGGTCTCTATATTGACTCCATATTTATCATTGTCTCCCAAACACAGCCCAAGGAGGCAGAGTGGAGAGACCTTACAGGACCATTTATGGCACGTGTAGTTTCTCTATGGATGTTCTATTTCAATTAAAAAAAACTTTTTTTTTTTAAAGTAAGAAACCAAGTGAAGGAAGAGTAATTGACTCTCAGGAAGAGTTCCTGGCAGGCTCCCTTCAGTGTGTTCTCTTTGAAGGGATGATGGAAAATGTGGGGGAAAGTACCACTTGTTGAATTGAATGAACATCTCTTCCAAAGACCTCAAAGTGCCCTTTCAAGGATGCATCTTAAGCAACTAAATAAACCATGTTGATATTCTTTTAGTAGTGATATTTTTAAGTTCAGCTGTGATCACTCAGTGGAGATTTAGTACTGTAGAGCTTACCTTGTAAAGTGTTAAAAATGGCAAAAAGGTACATGAAGGTGATGTTAACTGGTCCCCAGGCAAAGAAGGCAAAGCCCCAAGTAATTCCCAATAAAAATGTAAGGCCCGCAACGCTCCGCAGATCTTGAATACTGGTTTTTCGCTGGGCTCCCAGTTGCTTCTTCTTTTTAATTCGACAGAGTTGAATCAGGACCACAATGAACATGCTGACATTCAGCAGAAATATTACACAGAAATATCCCACAACTGTAATATAGAATACAGCATTGCTGTTGATCCAGCAACTGTAATTTGGAGGGGAAAAACAGGAAAAAACATATTACCATGCTGAAATATGGTTCAAAATGCTGCAATGAATTTATATCAATTTACTGAAACAGTTCTACAAGTAAAAAAGAAAAGAACATGATAAAACCACTGTTCTCCACAATCATTTGTAACTCTAGGGAAAAAGAACTAAAATAATTTATTTTAGGATACTTGGTGGCTGAAAGTATTTAAAAATTATTCTTTGATAACTTTCAGGATTTTGCTCCCTTTAAATCCTCGTGATTTTATTTCATGAGTTTTTACTAACATAACTAGTATGTCATTTTTATCAGAGACTTATAAAAGTATTTTCAAAATACTTCCTCCTAATTTGTTTGTTTTAATGCTTAAAACAACTAGTTTTATCTAACTAGTTTATCTAACTTCATATATATATATTATAAAATCTTCAAAGGTTGCTGTAAATATTACTGGATTTTATTAGCATGAGAGCTGGAGTCAATATGCTGATTAGACCCTCCACTTTCTTGGGGAATTCTGTTTTTCACTTCACTAAATATTCCCTTGGGGACTTTGTACTTACAAGTCATCTGATGAGCCACTAGGGAATTTCCCATAGGATCCAAGCCCGTAGTTATCTGGGGATATAGTCAGGACAATGGTCACAATCACAGCTGGTACTCCTGGAAGATGGGAAACATTGGTCACACATAGTTCTAATAACCATAGGTGGTGAGAAGAAAAAATAAAGATCACAGTTTATTTTCTTCAAAAGGGCGAGTGAACTGTTCACCAAATCCAGTTTCTCTTCCTCCTTGGCACACAGCTGGACATCTCCCAGCCTCCCTTGCAGCTAGATGTATGTGGCCACATGACTAGGTCTTGGTTTATGGAATATGGACAAGTGATCTACTCCACCTCTAGGTCTGTTGCATAAAAGCCTCCTGTGACACCTTCTACTCTCTTCTCCCAAATTCAGGGCAATTTTGGAAGCCCTGTGTTGAGACAGAGCAGAGTCTCCAGAGGCCTGGATCCTGAATAACTACAAAATAAATTAACTGATTCTGCTAACTATACTGTTCATGTGTGAGAAATTATCTTCTTCTGAGATTTCAGGGTTTGTCTACTACAGTGGCTTATATCCTTAGTTATAGGACTTCTGTTCATCTAGACTTCAAGTGGTTCTCAATGATGGCTATTCTGTAGTTTAGTTATAATTTTGATGTCATGTGAGGAGGTGAGTGCTCCATTTACCTACTCCATCATCTTGACTGGAAGCCCTCCTAAGAGTTTTGTGTTCATAAACAATCCAGGGGAAATATACAGGCGTTCTAGAAAGAGACATGACAAGGTTGCTCTTTGGGCAATGCAACATATAAGACGAAGAAAGTTGTTTTAGAAGCCTGCCAAGTATAACCTGTGTCATCAGTCTCTGTGTGATTAAAAATCACAACACTGAAGAAGAAGCAGAGAAAGCCAAGGTAATGTATAAGCAAATGATACGTACCCCAACCGACGATGCAGAATTTAAGGATGTATTTTCGGATGTAAGTATTAAACACTTTGACAAGGGCCAGATACATATGGAATGCTTCTAGGCCCATCCATGTAAATGAGACCAAAAGAAAATAATGCAAAAATACAGCTGCCGAGATGCAGAGGCCTCGCCAGTCATACAAAGCAACCCATGAGTCCAAGAGAAAAACCAGGTTCAGCAGGAGCAGAGCTGCACAAAGCTGGATGAGAATTTTGGAAGGATAATCCCTTCGGATCTTTCTAAAAGGAAAGGACAATAAAAGAATTAGCATCCCATTCTCCTTGTGCGTCCATATATGAGTTTTAAGCAATTTAATTTTATTCTTTAGTAAACCTCTATAGTAGTCCCTCCTTACCTAACAGGAATATGTTCTAAGACCGCCCCCCCAGTGGATGCTTGAAGCTGTGGATAGTGTCAAACCTTATATATACTATGTTTTTACTATAAATATATACCTTGATAAAGTTGAATTTATAAGTTAGGCCTAGTAAGAGATTAAAAAATAACTACCGTGTTTCCCCCAAAATAAGATATCCTCCAAAAATAAGACCTAGCACATGGAAAGATAAGACATCCCCTGAAAATAAGACCTAGTGCAACTTTGGGAGAAAAAATTAATATAAGACACTGTCTTATTTTTAGCTGAAACCGGTTTGGCTCAGTGATAGAGCATCGATCTGCGGACTGAAAGGTCCCAGGTTCGATTCCGGTCAAGGGTATGTACATTGGTTGCAGGCACATTCCCGGTAGGGGGTGTGCAAGAGGCAGCTGATCGATGTTTCTCTCTCATCGACGTTTCTAGCTCTCTATCCCTCTCTCCTCCTCTCTGTAAAAAATCAATAAAATATATTTTTTCAAAAAGACACTGTCTTATTTTTGGGGAAACAGGATAATAACAAAATAGAACAATTATGGCAATATAGTAATAAAAGTCATGTGACTTTTTATATTTTTGAGTTCAAACCTATTCTTGGATCTGTTAACCATCCCTTACTTGGCTTGGTGTCACTTGTTTCGGGAGATCTCTTGCTGAAGTCTTCATACAGTAGGTTCAATACTTTCTGGTGCAACATGTTGCCATCAGTCAGAACATGTTTTCTGTTCATGTCTTCCACTCACAAATGTAATGCCTTTTGCATCTTAACTATCATGTAGTTGTGGCTATATCTTTTATAATTTGAGTTATGACAGCAAAACTAGTACAAATTGCTTTTCCTTCTTCATAATTTCATAGATAGAAGATTTGTTCTTAGCAACCTCAGCATATAATTTTTTTCTTGATTTATTAAGTTAAAAACTTTTACCTTTTCACTTAAAGGAAGCACTTTACAACTTCTTTTTCACATATCTGAATTTCCAATATCACTACTTTTATGCTTTGGAGCCAGTATTAAGTAAAATAAGTGTTACTTGAACATAAAGCACTATGACAACCAAGACAGCTACTAAATTGATATATTTTTTTAGTTCTATGACTGTGGACAGTTACCTAACTAATGGGTGGGTAGTGTACTAGAATACAGTGTGGATATACCAGACAAAGAGATGATTCATTTCCTGAACAGGATTGAGGAGTATGGTGTTTTTATTTCATCATGTTATTCACTCAGAACACTGAGAAACTTAAAACTTATGAATTGTTTATTTCTATAATTTTCCATTTAATACTTTTGGACTGGAGTTGACAATGGGTATTTGAAAACTGCAGAGAGCAAAACTGTGGATAAGGGGAGATTGTTGAATATGAGTAAATTTCCTCTTCTTTGAGTATCTCTGTAGGCATTAAAACCAACAACAAAGGGAAAATCTAAACAGAATCATTGGTGGAACCATATGGAAATTGTGTTTGTATTTCTGTGGAACCTTTTACATGCTGACTGTTAACCCATCCTTTTAAATAGTTTGTAGTGGAATCTACTGAACAACCCCTCCCCCATTTCTCCCAAACTACTTCTAGAAGCATTGCTACTGCTTCTCATACAATAGGTTCCTATATTCAGATCTTTAAAACATAGCCAGATTTCCCTGTTATTTTATTAGTGAAAATGAGATCATGGAAAGAAGAGTTTATACTATACCTAAATGAAACAGACATAGGAAAATACAGCTAATTGATGACAAGTGCATATTTATATGTGTGAAATTAGATCTGGTGAAATCATTCTGAGTAATGGTTGGCTTATGGTAATTTAGTCTCATTAATAATATTTTCAAGGGTCCACTAAAAGATCTGTATTCACAGCTGGACCTTAAGTTTGGCATTTAAAGTAAATTTGTGCATTTCTTGATCATGGTCCAAAACCTGCATTTCAGAACTTACATATCGTTTCACTTAATGTAAGAAAAATACATATTTTCTTCTTTTCTAATAGAATTTGTTGGAATTCCCCCCCAAAAAAAGTTACCAAAGGGACCCTTCTGTAAGCTGAGAAAGAGATACTATTACTTGGCATGTTATTCTTGCTTTGACCTACAAAGCCACACTTATCAAGTATCTATATTTTTTAAAAGTATGTATATCTTTCAGTGGAGCTTTACATTCTTTATTCTTCTTCAGCCAACATGTGTTAATATTAATCTTTTGTGTTTGCTAAGTATAATTTAGAAACATGTTATATTAAACATAGCTCTTATTCCATACATTATTCTATAGTCTCTTTCAGATTTAAGCTATTGGGTTTCTGGGTGTTCATCTTTCATTTTACACTTATTGTAAACTAAGTACCAGGAATCATCTTAAGGAATGAAGATGACTAAGGCACAACCCTTGCCTTCAGAGAGTGCATAGACTAATGGAAGGAATCGAGTGTATAAACCAAAAAGAATCATGAAGTTTTACATATATATAGGTGGCTCCACTAGATGGTTGTACAGGATAAGGCAGGCTGAGGAGTACACTTAATTGATATATTTTGGCAATGGAGGTGAGCACTGTATCCTATCATTCAAGTTTCCAGTTGTGGATACTCACTCAAAGGCTATGTAGGTTATGAGAGTAACTGACAGAAAAATTGATGAAAGCCCACAACCAATATATGTGATAAATGTCAGAGCCATCATTTGAGCCGCTGGCAAGGATGTTCGGGATAGGTCCTAGAAAATAAAATATTGTTTTCAAGACCAAATATTTTCAAGTAAATAAAAGAATCATAACTGACAGTGATTGAGTGTTCTAAGTGCCCATCCATAGTTCATTCAATAACTGGTAAGGTAGCCACAATTATTATCATTAAGTAAAGATAATGATATTGAAGCCCAGAGATTAAGTAAATTGCCCAAGGTCACACAACTATGAAGTGGAGGAGCCAAGAACCAAATTCAGGTCTGGCTAACTCCAAAGCCCATGTGCTTGATCAGTGTCTTACAGTACACTAGAGAAGCACTGGGCTAGGAATTTATAAAGACTTGAATTTGGCTTCTAGGTCTTATATTTTTTAGTTTATGACTGTGGACAGTTACCTAACAAATGAGTCTTAATTCTGACTTCATTAAAATGACAGTAACAATGCCGCATTCTACCTGTCTTGCAGGACTGTTGGGGAGATTTAAATAAGATAATTTATAACAATGTATTTTATAAAAAATGTAAAGTGCATTGCAAACTAAACAATTTTCCTTCAAGTACACTTGCTTAATTAGAAGAGTAATTTCATTGGTCAATAATTTTGCCACAATACTGTATCTGCTGATTTTTCAAAGTCATCTAACAGATTAGACATTATGGCATCATGCCTAGCTACCTCTCAGACCCAGAATCTAGGGCCAGGTAATTTGGGGATATTACCAGTAGGACGCCAAAGCTCGTAAGGTGGCTGCAGCTACAGATGGTTTCATTCAGCCTCCTGTCTTTGACGGAGCAGCCATTGGATGACCAGCCTCCTCTGCCACCTGTTGGCATTGGGAAGAGTATTTGATTAATCAGCAAGGCCACAGCACTCATGACTGCCCTTTCGCCCATATACCTCTTTCCCCACCCACTCAAGGCTTTGAAAAAGGTATGACTGGAACCTACCATTTCTGCCCAAGTCCCAAAACACGCATCTTACTGTTAAGTAATCCTGCAGTAGAAAGATACATCACAAATAATTAATTTACGGTACTGAAAAAGAAAAGCCATTGGAAAAATAACTGACTTAAAAAAATTTCAGAATCTCACTCTTAATTTTTGGAAACTTGTTATTTTACACTAGGAGCAGCTCGGGAGCCTTTTATAGGTCAGCACTTCTTAAACTCAGCAACTGTGCTAAGAATCACCTTGAGGCATTATTAAAATGCACATTCTGATTTAGTGTGTCTGGAGTGGGGCCTACGAGTGCAGACTCCACTTTGAGTAGCGAGATCATAGCTGATGCTCAATGTGAACTGAACTGTTTGGTTTTCTCTTTGGAGGTGAGGATCAGACCTGCAGCCACATATTGAAATGCACTGAAATCTGGCAGTTGATAAGAGCTTGCTTTTGCATTGTTCCTTTTGGACATTAGGTGGTCAGTTATTAGGCATGTTGAAACCCAACGGAGTGACTAAGTGATTCTAGTCTTACACACTGCCCTGAGTTTTTAGGTTCTGCTGGATCTTTTGTTTTCAGGCCATGTCTTCCAGGTATAGTTTGCAGTGAACAGCCCAGACAGGACTCTCCCACCTGGCTTTGGTCGATGTGCTTTAATGTAACTGTCACGTTTCTCGTCAAGTTCTTGACAGTCAGATTTGCAACACTTGATGATATGACATAGCTGATCAGAGAGAGGTTCTCCAGAGAAGGGTCCTAGCACACAAAAGAATCAACAGGATGGCAAGGGAAAACGAAATGTTATCAGAGAGTTTTAGAGCTTGAAGGGACTCAAAAGACTATTTAATCCATATGTTTATTTTACGACTTAGGTCAAAAATTGAGGGTCAGGAATAAAGCGACTTTCCCAAGAACCATAATTAGAAGCAGAACTTGTTGCACTCTACAGCACTCTAAATACCAAGTTAAATTTCACGGATTGACCCAATAGGGCCTTCATGAATTTTTTTAAATGTCTTTATTTATTAAGATGTTACAAATGTGTCCTTCATGAATATTAAGGGAAACATAACATTAAGCCATTTAATATATGTGCTGTCAAAGGTAGCACGACATCAAGCCACTTAAGCTGTCTGTTCTTGAGCAAATTACTTCATCTCTCTGTGCATACATGTCCTCATCTATAAAATGGGAATAATATATAGTTTAATAGTTCCTTCCTCACAGAGATGTTGAGAGTATTAGAGTTAACATTTATAAGAGCTTAGGACAGTGCTCAGCATTGGTAAACAGTATCAGTTATTGTTATGTATCATCACTAGCACTCTTAGGTCCTGTTTAAAGATAAATTGCAGCTTTTCAGCAATTCTTTTTACTTATACCAGACTTAAGATGTGTGAGGATTAAAAGAAGCATAAATTCCCCACTCCCAAATAAAACTTATATTAAAACCAGTTCACAGCAACTTTACCTGAAATAGGGCAGGTGTTTCAAAAAAGTTGAACTGAACCCTGGAAGCTAGCTCTACATCATTAGCTGGTAAATTACTCATCAGCGATGAGGGCAGAGAAATAATACCAATACTATTCTCAGGAGCCTCCGTTTCCAGAGAAACCTGAAAACCAAGTAAAAGATAATAAAAACATCTGGGGCTGGTATAATAAGAAGTTAGAAAACATAACCAATCAAGATGAAGAATCATGTAGGAGCATTTCTGTGTGGTGTCTCTGTGTATAATCAGTTCTTATTTCTTTGCTACAAAATTAGAGAGGGTGTGTAATAGGGAGAGGAGGCTTTGGAGTAGGAAAGAAAACATTTTAAATATACACAGAAACAGAAAGTATAAGATATTATATGTCAATTATATTGCAATAAAGTTGGGGGGCACTGACCCCAAGGAGGCTCTACAGTGTATGACATAATATATTATATGATAAGTCATACACTGTAGACCTCAAGGAAACCACAGCAGCAACATACCAACTTGGTGACTTGTTAGGGCAAAGTCTTCATAGAACCACATGCACTAAACTTGTAAATTAAATTATTAGGCAGGACTTGGTTTTATGTGGGTGTTTCCAGCCCCCAATCCCTCTAACAGGTGGCTAGAAAACAATTAGAAGCAAGATTGCTATTCAGTACCACTATTCACACCAGGGTAGTCATAACACTTCTTCAAGTATCGGAGTGGGTTGATAAGTAGCTAATGCCCCTGCTCTCTCCCAGCTATCTAGAACCCTCCACTGGATACTTCCCCCAACTCACCCCACCCCAACTTCCGCAATCCAACTGCTCTAGGTCCAACAGTGACCTCTAAGACCAGCCAAAACCAATGCCCTTGTTTTATGTTTTTATTGACTTTATTTTATTTTTTCAAACTGTAATAGAACATTAATTGGAAAACTACAGGGGTGGAAGAAGTAATTCCTAATGGTGCCTGGGAGAGGGAAAGGGAAGGAAAAGGGAAAGGCATGGGCATACTCCCCAGAGGGGAGCTGTTTGTATTAATTTTTGGGACAGAGTAAGGGAGAGGGATAGAGATAGAAAAACATCAATGAGAGAGAAACATGGATTGGCTGACTCCTGCATACCCGCTACTGGGGATCAAGCCCCAAACCCAGCATACGCCCTGACTGGGAATCAAACTGGTAACCTCTTGGCTCATGGGTCGACACTCAACCACTGAACCACACCAGCTAAGCAATGTCCTTTTTTTTTTTTTTTATTCTGTGGTGACTCATTGTTCTAGAGTTTAAATATTTTTAATATCATCCCTGACTATAAGCAGTAATTGCTTCAATTATATACTCTATCATATATCATGATATATGAGGAATCATATACAAGAAAAGGCTGTTTCCACATTAAATTAGGATGTACCTGAAGATTAGTAGGGTCTTGAGCAGCAAAGGTAGTCATGTTGAAATTACTGGAATTCACTCTGATCACCGCCAGAGCCAAAGAAGGGGAGGTTAGACTTATGGTCTTGGTTGAAAAATTCAGCTGTAAACCAATGTCATCCACTACTTTTAGCAATCTGTAAAGACAAATGGCAGTTCAAAATCAACACTCCCACTTTGTTTTTCCCAGTCTAAGCAGAAATAACACAGAGTAGCAATTTAACATTATGAAACATAGTGGGAGAAAGATACTTGGCTGTAATTAATCATGTAAGAAGCATTTTTATCACTATATGGGTCAGTTTACTAAGTCATACCTTTGGGCCAGAGGGGCCAGCAAGGCGGGTGGGGAATGGAGGAGTTTGCTGACTTGATTTATCATTTCTCCTGCAAGGTTAGGCTCCAAGCTGCCCAAGGACAGAATTTTCTCCATCTGAGCCACTTGGCCCTCAAGGTCAAGAGCAGTGATGCCACTGGTGTGAACAGTTTCTACAACAGAGAACCAAATCATTTTATGAACACATAATGAAAGAAATCATTAACAAAAAGAAACATAGACCTTGTGATCTAGCAAACCCACTGCTATGTATTCACCCCAGAAAAGTGAAAGCATGTTTATTGCAGCCTTTTCCAGCTTTGTTTCCAAAATGGAAGCAAACCAAATGTTCAACTACAGAATGGATAAACAAACTGTGGTCCACTATACAACAGACTACATTATTCAGTAATAAAAAAGGATGAGCTACTTATATATGCAACAACATGGATGAATCTCCAATGTCTTATATTAAGTGGGGAAAAAAGCCAGACTCAAAAGGCTACATACTGTATGATTCTCTTCATATGAAATTCTAGGAAAAAAAAAAAAGTACAGTATAGGGAAACAAAACAGATTAGTGGTGGCCAGGGGATGGGCAAAGTGGGTAGAAGTTTGACTACAAAGGGATAGGAGGAAACTCTTGGGGTAGTGGAAATGTTATATATTTTGATGGTTACATGACTGTGGTGTTTTTCAATCTCATAGGACTATAAAATTTTCATTCATCCATAAGAACTGGATAAAATTTAGTGTGTGTACATTATATTTCATGTATACAATATACATTATACATTGACATCCTTAATATTGTCAATAGTAAAAAATATATTTAAAAGGAAACCTAACTAAAATAATATGTAAAAGCATATCAGTGTATTAGTGTATATTCAAGCATAAATATACTTATATTTAATTTATATCATGCATATAGGAATTTATATAGGCAACTAGAAGTGTTTTTTATGGAAAACAGAATGTTGTTAAAATTACAAGCCTGATTTTTAATAGTGTTTTTAAATAGGAAACAATGATACAGTCCTGTCTAACAACAAAGAAGTCTCTTAATTTGACCACTTAACTTCCTATTTCTTATTTTGCATGTTCCTTTCTAATCTTTATCCATGTGTTATAATATACTGTTATGAGCATGGTGTACAAACTATTTATTGTTATTTTCACTTCACTCAAGGCTTGAGAAATGCCCCCAAGTTTTTATCTAGTTGTTCTTATGCACAGTTGTGTAATAGTCATTTTGTTATGTGAGTCATTGTGAGAATATCATATTTCATCATCCCTCTTCTATGGAAACATTATATCCATTTTTAGCTCCCAGATAATACCCCAGCACATCTTTTATGTATATGCTACTTTGCTTCCTCATTGCCTGAAACTCAATTATTGAGTGGAAGCACAGTCGCAAGAGGCCACCTTGCTGGCCTTTCTGTGTAGCCTGCTAGGTTGATTCTAAGGATGGAAGGGGATAGCTTTGGAAAGGTAGACAATTTTAAGCTCAGGCTAATGAACTTTATTTTTTAAAAATATATTTTATTAATTTTTTACAGAGAGGAAGAGAGAGGGATAGAGAGTTAGAAACATCGATGAGAGAGAACTATCGATCAGCTGCCTCTTGCACACCCCCTACTGGGGATGTGCCCACAACCAAGGTATGTGCCCTTGACCGAAATCGAACCCGAAACCCTTGAGTCTGCAGGCTGACGCTCTATCTACTGAGCCAAACCCGTTTTGGCTGAACTTTAATTTTACTTTATTTTTCATCACCCACTAGACTAGAGCCCCAATGACTTTATATGGCCTAAAATGTCCATATTTATTTTTTTAATTCTGCAAATATGAAGAAATATCAAGTCATTTGGCAGAAGTCTAAACCTCCTGGGGATGCTGGCATCGTGGTGGAAGGGGCAGGGATCTCAACCTGAGTGCCAATCTCATGACACCAAAATTTGATTTTGCCTTGAAACATCTAAATTCTAGAGGAAGACCTGCTTCTTACTCACTAAATTGAAATTCTGGAGAGTGTACAGAATTCTTTCTGCTTTCTTCCTTCTTCCCTTTAGCCTTTATCCCTAAACCTATTTTGTTTCTGGGGAGCCCTTTGCAGTTTCCAGGGATTCTCATGTATGCCATTGTTTTCAACCAAGTGCTGTTAGTGTGATTATTTTATCTTTAATTTCATAGGCTGAGTCAGGAGGAGCAAAATGGCTTATCCCAGATCACACCGCCAGTTAGAGCCCGTGCAGACCCAGGACTAGGCCTTCTGAATGTTTTTCTTTTCCTTATGGCTATCTTGGCTCAGTCCCAGCTCTGTCACTCTGTGACTGACTGATTTTCAAGAACACCAGTTTTTATTGTTTTCTGTCTAAATGGGGTTACTGTGTTTAACAGTTCCAAAGTTTTCACTTAAGAATGTTTTAAAAGAGTGACCCAAAAACCTTTTGTAGGAGAAAGAAAACTATAAAATAACTCAGCTTGATAAAATGAGATCTGTGTTTGCCTCAAAGCTGTTTCTCTATTCTATGAATGCCTGGAAGAAATCTCTTGAAATAAGAAGACATCATAAAAAGAAATGATAAGTGTGATCTTATAGATATTTACAGATTGGCAGCTGCATTTCAGGTACCCCAAATTAAAACAAAATTAGGAGCAGCTTAGCTCCTCATATTTACCTGTCTTGTCAGGAGACGCACTGGTCATGATGACTTTCACCAGGGCAGATGTGGTGGGAGTGGGAAATGAGGATTTCCCAGGTGACAGGGTGTAGGAAAGATCAGTTTGGGGACTAAGGGTAGAGATAGTTCCAGATTGGGGGAGCATGTCAGTGGTAGGGCTAGAAGCTATGGGAGTTGAAGACTGGACAGAAGGAAGGTGCATCGCATCTGTTGGGCTCTGGGAGATGACAGCTGGAGAATTTAGAGGTGTAGCTAAAGAGAGGGCACTGGAAACCTGAGTGGAAACTGTGGCCTGAGTAGCAGCTGGGATAGAATTGCCAGAAGAAACTGCTGGGCCCTGTGGATAACCACCAGCAAGACACAGAATTGGATCCTGCAAGTCACTAAAAGAAAAGAATCAGAGAGATGCATGTGAGACAAATGAGCTACAGAGAAGTGAATCTCTGCTTTTGCAACCATCTGATACCATCCGAAACTCTGGGCTGCACCCCAGACCAATGACATCATCATCTCTGAGGGTGGGAGGCAGGCATCGATGTTTTCAAAACTCCCCAGATGATCCTAATGTCCAACCAGGCCTGAGAACCACTGCACTATAGTCTGGACCCATGCTGGAGTCCATGAACCAGCAGCATTTGCTTCACTAGGGAGTCTGTTAGAATTGCAGAATCTCAGGTCCTGCCCAGACCTACTGATCGGAATCTGTAACAAGATCCTCAGTGATTGATATTTGCAATAATGCTTGAGAAGTGTTGAAATTGAAAGCCCTTATGCATTGTCAAATTTCAAAAATTCCTTAGCCAACATGGCAATTAAATGTTATTTTGTTAGGAAAAGGGTCAGCATGTTTGCTACATACCACTGCAGTTTTTCTAATTCTTCTGGGGAGGAAGGGCAGGGTATTCTGACAGAACAGCAGCACTGTTCTGGAGGAGACAAAAGGAAAGAAGAAAATGCATGGTTAAGAATATGGCAAGATAGAAGCTCAGATCCGTCAAGTATTATGGTTCTTACACTGACTGCATTTTAAAGAGCATTTGTCTAAAACAGGTGATAAAATAAATTGGATGGCATTATATTGAGTGAATAATTTGGGGGAGGGCTATATGCACATAATATCAATCACTCTTCAGCAATTTCTAAGAGGAATTCAGAAGTAAACAGATCCCAGTGGCAAGTGATTCAACACTCCAAATAGATCTTTCCTTCTCAACAGGGTTTATAATGTTTTCAAAAAGTACACTGAAATTTTATTAAGAAAGAAAGGCCCAGCTGGTGTTGCTCAGTGTTTAAGTATCAACCAATGAACCAGGAGGTCATGGTTTGATTTCCAGTCAGGGCACACGCCTAGGTTGTGGGCTCGGTCCCCACTGTGGGGTATGTAGGAGGCAGCTGATCAGTGATTCTCTCTTATCATTAATGTTTCTACTTATCTCTTTCTGTCCCTTCCTCTCTGAAATCAATAAAACATATTTTAAAAATAAAGAAAGGAAAAATCACCTTTTAAAAAATATATATATTATTGATTTTTTACAGAGAGGAAGGGAGAGGGATAGAAAGCTAGAAACATCGACCAGCTGCCTCCTGCACACCCCCTACTGGGGATGTTCCCGCAACCAAGGTACATGCCCTTGACCAGAATTGATCCTGGGACCTTTCAGTCCGCAGGCCGATGCTCTACCCACTGAGCCAAACCGGTTTCAGCGGAAAAATCACCTTTTAGAGCTCCCTAAAAACTTCCTAAGAACAAATGAGTCAAAGTAGAAAGCTGTAACATATGTACGTTTCTTAGTTATATCTTCAATTTTAAAAAGAATGCATCAAAGCCGTATGAAAATGAACACAGCAACATAGACAACTTACCCATCGGGTGAATCTTTACTTTTTTCAAAGTCGTCACTACATCACATATGTTCCTCGTCTTATTCAGTTTTATTGTGAATGTGCAATTTAGTGTGCTATAAAAAGAAAAATATACAACTAGAATGTTTCTAAATTGGAAACCTATCTACATATTTGTAATTGTTTTTTTGAAACTTAGAGTGAGGAAAAGAGACAGTGACAATGTTATCTTGCAGTGTTACCTATAAGCTTGTAAACACCCAGCTACCATGGTCTGAACTTTATACAAAAGATTTTACAGGATAAGGAATTTATAGGGGTTTACATTCACAGATGTTGCAAAGCAGAGGACCACACACAGCTGCTGATTTATTTTGTCTGCCTGCACAATGAACAGGCAAGGGTGAAACTTGGCTGCAAACACACGTATCTTGACATCTAGAGTCTTACCCCCAGCTGTAGGCATTTGAGTTTCCATTGTAAGAGCCCTTTCAAATACCAGCCTAGATGAATATCAAGGACTTAGGTCCAAATTCTCTCTGGCAATCCAATCTGGATTATCAGATAACTAAGAATTTAAGACATTCTCTGTTTCTTTCTACTTTAATCTTGGTTTATGTGGAAAAATATTAATATTGCAAAGAACAAAAAGAGGTAAGTGAAGTGTACTAAATACATATAGTGCATAGGGATTTGATGTACAGTTTCATAGAAGACTTGCCATTATTTGTATCAATGAATAGTTTGATGAGTAGAAATCTGTCATTTTCTAGAATTTTTACTCTCATAGAATGCTGAAGGTTCAGGTAGTGGATTATAAACATATGAGCTTGTTGGTTTATGCAGTCAGGACAACCAATGGACACAATTTAAGACGATAATCTACGCATGCTCAAATAATTGTCGGGCAATCTCAAATTCACCTTTGCATGCACTTTTTAATTTCTTCTTTTCTCTTTCTTTCCTATCCTTTCCTCCCTCTCCATCTTCCCCTGTGTTCCAGATTATGTTCCTGCTTCTTTGACTGTCCTTATCTCTGATTGGACCACTGTGAACCATTTCTTGGTCAAATTGGTGGCCCTTAGGGCTAAGGAACTGGTTATCCTTAGCCTCATAAAACAGAGGCCAGCATCCCCAACAGAACCCTTCTCTGTGTTTCACAAAGAAATGAGAATATACTTGTGACAGACTGATGAATGTTTGGAAGAATAAAAATACATATATCCAAAATGTCATTAATATATGTTTATTTTAGAAGAATACCTTCAAATTTGCAACCTAAGACTCCTCAATACTTTATTATTCATGAGTCAAGAATAATCTATATATATAAAAGCCTAAGCAACTGAATGGCTGAATGACTGGTCAACTGGTCACTATGAAGTGCACTGACCACCAGGGGGCAGATGCTCAATGCAGGAGCTGCCCCCTGATGGTCAGTGTGCTTCTACAGCAGTAGCACTGCTCAGCTGACCAATGGACATCAGACACAAGGCTCATGGCTGATGAGCACACTGCGGCAGTATAAGCCTCTCCCAATTGATAGGGACTGACTTGGTGTGGGCCTAACTGGGTGCAAGTCCACAGCAAGCACAGCAGGACTGGGATAAGTGGGAGTGGCAGGCAGGAGCTGCAGGTTGTGCTGGACTGTGGTTTCGATCCGATCCCCGCAGGCTGGGCCGAAACTGGCAGTCTGACATTCCCCAGGGGGTCACATATTGCGAGAGGGCGCAGGTCAGGCTGAGGGACCCCAATGGTGCATGAATCCATGCACAAGGTCTCTAGTGATATTTATAAAAGTATTAAAAATAACTGACCTTTGAGCTTCTGCTGTAGCACACACTATAAAATAAGTCTGAAACAAACGGAAAAAAAATATATATGTTACTTTGACAGTTGAAAGTGTCAGACAAGACAGCCCTGGACTAATCAAGCATCACTGAATCTTAGAGTCCAAGAACTCCTAGGGATCACCCAATTCACATTTCTACCAGATTTCTGATTTATGATCAAGGCTATTTCAGGCTATACAGCCTCTGCTTAGATACCTCTAATGTCACGGAGCTCATTACCACACAAGAGAGCTCATTCTTCTGGGTCCTTGTTTTAAGAGACTTTCAGTTTTACATGAAGGAAAATCCACCTCCTTGTAATGTCCATCCATTGTGCTTTTTTTTTTTTTTTTGTAATGGAACTAGTCCATTCACAATTTTACATAACAGATTTGGGGTGATTTGAATACATATCACCCCAGGAATGCAGAACCCCATGCTTTCCCCCAAATAACAATCATATGCAAAGTACAGGGTGTACTATGATTACCTCACTTAGGGTTTGCAGGGTTTTGTTGAGCTCTGTTCGTCTGTTAATAAAATGAAAGAAATTGACATGAAGGAAGCTGTTGGTGATGTTAAATTCAAAACAAGTTAGGTTTTTAGCAAATGCATTAGTCATATAGTATTTATTGCTTGTAGTATTCACTTTGAAGAGATACTGGGTATATTAAGAGACTCCTATGTGGAAAAAATAAATTATTTATATGACAAGGGAAACTAACCAGACAGAAGCTGTATTGGTACTAGCCAACAGTTGCAAGATAGAAATTTATGGTTGAACAATCGTGTTATTAAGTTACTGCAACTCCCAGGCAGCCTCTGGCAGAAGGCCTGAGGAAGAGCTGGCTGGCCCAAGGCAAAATTTCTGAAACAGGCCTGCCACTCACCCTGGAAGCTCTGAGCCTATGGTTTCTTCATTCTCTCTCCAACTGACCCTGCCACCCTCTAGCACTCTCTAGCCCTGCCTTCCCCTCCTCACAACTTCTCTTTAGGAACCTTCCTTATTCCTCTCCTCCAATTGCACTCTTACAACATTTGCATTTTTCCAATGTGGCAGAGCTTCATGTGAGCTTAAAATAAAATAAATCTAGTTTAAAAATTCGTCTATGGCCATACCATCCTGGATGTGCCTGATCTCATCAAATCTAGTTTAAATAATCACTCTAAGGCAGTGGTTCTCAACCTGGGGTGACCCTGCACTCAGGGACATCTGGAAATATCTAGAGACTTTTTTTTTCTTGTTACAATTGGGGGTGGAGTGCTACTAGCATCTAGTGAGTGGAGACCAGGGATCTGTTCCACATCCCATAATATACAGGACAATCCCATATGACAAAGAACTATCAGGCTCAAAATACCAATAGTACTAAGGCTGAGAAACCCTGCTCCAAGTAATGGGCAATTGGTTGCTCCAGGAAAGATCTAGAAGGAAGAAGAAGGGAAGGATGGTGGCAGTAGTAGTCAGCTTTTTGAGCTGTCAGGAACTACTCTTCCATAACTATGCTCAGAGACCACCTACTTTTTGGGGGATTCCCTGACCGTTCCAGTCATGTCCAACCTGTTCTACATTCAGACAGAACATACTTTGGTACCTTGTAAATGTGACCTTCACTATAGGGATCGTATTCTAGTGTTATCATTTGTTACCATTCTGCATCTTTTCTACCAGACTCCATATTCCTTTTTCTCAAAATGGCCTCATGCTGGAACCACCAGCGGAACACTAAAAACGCTCATGCCTACATCTCAGTCCCCAAATCCTGATTTAATTGGTATGGAGTGTGCCTGGGTACCAGTGTTTTTAAAAGCTCCTCAAGTGGTTTTAATTAATTTTCAGTCTAGTTTTCTATTTCAGAGAGTTGAGGTTATTCCCATTTGTATTCCCCAGCACGTAATAGGTGCTCAACAAATATTCAGTGGCTTTAAATGAACTCATCTCTATTTCAAGTCTAGTAATTAAGATGAATTGCAAGTATGCTAAGTTTTATTCTATTTATAAATTTGTGAGTTTAAAAAAAAATGTTTCCTATCACTACTATTGCCCACCTAAAGTTTAAAATCCCATTAAGACATTGGTTATTTCATATATATTCTTTGAATACTTAGAAAAGCTAGATTTTTATCAGGAGGCAAGAAAAAAAAGACATATAAAGGACATGAATGACATCCCTGTCCATCCCAATTAGCACTATAACTTTTGCCACTATAAACTCACAAGAGCACTAGGAATGTTTGATATCTACCACATGGAATCATGAATTATTTTTTTTCTCTACCTAAGTACTGCTGAATCATCAAAAGCAGACAGGTCAAAATGCTAATTAAAGAATGAACCTTAAGAACAGTTTTGTTTTGTTTAATTTGACGTGGGAAAGGTTTTTCTCTTCCGTGTTATCATAGATACTCATTAAAGCTTAAATTTGGTGAAAAAATTATGAAACCTTCATTTGAGAGGTAGTAGTAAGGTGGAGAATAGATGAATTTTATCTCTGAGGCTGCTTCCCTGCCATGAGGGCAAAACATCAAGTTTCTCCTGCCAGTGGACAGGGTAAGACTGTCCTGGCCTAAACCAACTGCTGGCCCATATTTTGATCTACTGTCTAACTAGGGCATCTATTTGTAAACTGAGGTCTATTTAACAAAGACCTCTCTCTGAGTTGTAAATCACTGATGCTTTGTGAAAGCATGAACAAATGGTATACATGAAGTCTTACCTTGAACCGTTCTTTCAATCTTGATGGCTATCAAGTCATATTACTCAAATAGTAATTCAAATGGAAGTAATTTAATAGCATCAAAGAGAACAGCCTCACAGGGATGTTAATTGATGACAGGTAATATGTTTATAGTTTGCAAAGAACTCAAGAACCAATTCTCTAAAACCTTTAGGTCTCTTTCCTATTCAGTTTCCAAAAGCAAAGATAGCTCAACAAGTATCTTTCCATAGTTGATTTCTTAAGATTTAAATCAAACAGCACATTACTCACTTCAATTCACTTTGAGACAGGACTCCAGTCAAGGTTCCATTAGCCATATTCGGATTCTGTTAGAAGCACAAAATCATTAAGAATATAACAAATATTGTTTTTTATACTTTCATACAAGAAGTTGTTTAGTTTTGTTGACCGCCCAAAGAACTACACCCTAAAGACTATAAATACTAACTGCATGAAATACTACCTAGCAAATGATTAAATCTATATAGATAGAGCCAGTTTTTTTTAATATTCTGAATCAACAAGTGTGACGTGCAAATAATTTCTGATTTTTATTATTCTATTTTGTCTTTCATTATTCCCCCAAAAGAATACTATTAAAGCTCTCCTCATTAAAGGTCCCAGATTTAAGTAAAAGATCCCAATGTAAAGGGGGAACATAATAGCAGTCATCATTATTTATCTAGAACCTAGCTCTTTGCGAGGCATATAGTAGGTACTCAATAAATATTAACTGAATGAATAAACCATGTGTAGCTGAGATCCTCTAAAGCAATCCAGGTTACACAAGGCTGATACTACTATATTTGAATCCCCCATAGGGCAAATAAGATAAGTTTAAGAGACTGTTCTTATATTCAATATATATTATATTTCTTCTTGTTAGGAGTTTCTAATATAATTTCACATTTTGACTGGTCATAGAATTACATCATATAAACATTCAGCAGAAAGCCTAGTGAAAATTTACTTATACTTGGCCATAAAAATAAATAAATATGCCAAATACCATAAATCTAAGCCTTAAACAAATATTAAATATATCTGAATTCATTTTTTTAAGATTGTACTGAGGAAAATCTTTAAAACCTACCTGAGTAGCATTGATTTCTTCATCATATTGAAACATTATCTCACCTCTGTAAAAGTCTAAAAATAAATTTTTAAAAAGAAAAATTGAGACGTGCATCCTTAGAACTTGAGGATTAATATCTCACAGAAAAAGATTATCAAATTGCTTTATAAACAAAGTTTCATCACATTTTTTTTGCTGTTACTCACATTTACTCTTATTTATTTTTTAATATTAGAAAGTTAATATAATTTTCAGAAGATATAAATTATAAATTTTATGTAGGAATGCAGAAAGAGGGAACGCTTGTTCCCTTGTCAAGAAATTTTATCCCAGCCTACTTGAATCCCAGTGCCCGGGATTTGGCCTATCCAAAGGCGCCCTCGATAAAATCGCTGGCACCTGCCAGCTCACTCCTTGGTGTGCTGCTTTCGAAGGCCCACCATGCCCCTGTGGCCAATGGCCTCAGAGTCACAGCCTCTGTTGCCTCTACCAAGACCTGCTCCCTTGAGGTGTCAGGGCACGCAGACATGGGCAGCCACACCAGAGCGCACTGCGTAGCTGGGCACTGGACTTCACCAGGCTCCTGTGTGCCCTGCTGGGCATTGTGGTGATCATAATGTGCCCTCCATTATCAAACTGCAGGTCCACAATAGTGTGTGTATTGACTCCAGTAGCCTGTCGTTTGGCATATGGAAGGAGATTCCTGTTCCCTTCTCTATCTCCATCTACTTCATTGACATTGTCTACCCCACGGAGATCCTCCAGGGCAAGAAACCACTGTTGTGGGAGCGCAGGCCCTATGTGTAAAGGGAGTTCCAGCACAAGAGCAACATCACCTTCAATGACAGTGACACAGTGTCTTTCCTCGAGTATTGCAACTTCCAGTTCCAGTGAGAAGTCCAGTGGCTTGGAGAGCTACTACATCATCCAGCCCAATATCCTGGTCTGAGTGCAGCACTGATGATGGAGAATAAGCCTATGGGGCTGAAACTGTTTATGACCTTGGTGTTCACTACCTTGGTGAGTGTGCCTTCATGAACTGCACTATAGGCAAGATCATGTGGGGCTATGATCACCCCCTCATGCACCTTATCAATAAATACTTCCCAGACATGTTCCTCTTAAAAGGCAAGTTTGGGTTATTTGCTGAGCGCAACCACTCCAATTCCAGGCTCTTCACCATGTTCACAGGGATCAAAAACTTCAGCCAGATCCACCTCGTGGACAAGTGGAACTGGCTCAGCAAGCTCAACTTTTGGCATTCGAATCCGTGCAACATGATTGACAGGACTTTGGGGCAGATGTGGGCCCTGCTTATGACTCACAAATATCACTGGAATTCTATAGCTGCTGATTTAGAAAGGAGACCTGCTAACCCATAAAGGTCATCTACAAGGAAGTAAGCATGCTCAAAGGCATCCCTACCTTTTGCTTCATACACCTTATTTGCCAGTGGGTCTGTCTACTCACCTAACAAAGGCTTCTTTCTGCCTGTGTCTGGAGTGTGGAATCCAGAATGTCAGCATTTACAGGTTCAGTGCACCCTTGTTTCTTTCCCATCCTCACTTCTACAATTCCTACCCTGTTCTGGCAGAGGCAGTGATCAGCCTCCACTCTAATGAGAAAAAAATGTTCCCTATCCCTGGACATGCACTCTCTCATAGGAACCCCTATGAACTGTTCTGTGAAGCTACAGCTGAGCCTCTACATCAAGGCTGTCAAAGGCATTGGATAAATGGAAGATAAAGCCAGTGGTTCTGCCACTAGTGTGGTTTGAAGAAGAGAAATGCTATTTATTTGGGAGTAGTAGTAAAAAAGGGCTCAACAAATAAGGAAACCATACAGACTTATTCTGAATCCCTGATGATATCTGCCCCAGTTCTGCAAGAAGCACAACTGTAGGGCCCTGGAGATGCTCAGAGCCAGCCTAGCCCAACCATTCATCAGCCCCTGCACCCTGCTTCTTCAGGTCTCCTTCAGGAGACAGTCTGCCAGTCCTAAAGTCTGAGCTTCCCAATTGCCACACAAGTGTGTCCACACACTGCACACAACCCCACACATGTATGCATATGCCTGTGCAGGTATGTACAGACACACTCATGAATAGAGATGGTTATGAGGGGACTCAAGGAGAGGCTCACCCAACAAAGACTGTTTCAGAACCTTCTCTCTGAGGCACCCATAGGTGTGTGGGCATTGGGTCCTGTCCCTGTGGTGAGCCTGTTCAGCCACGGGGCCACTTCTCCTCAGTTTCCCTCTCCATTAGTCTGAAAACACTGCAGACCCTGTTTGATGGTTCACCCAGAAGCACTGGGCTTTTACTCTGAGGGGCCACTATTGAGGTAATAAACCTTTTCTAAAAGTTGGGAAGAAAATAAAATTTATTCTTAAATGCTTCTCATCAGATTTTTTTTTCTTTAAAGATGCTAATTGAAGGAACCATGGGTCTAAAGTTAATGCTTAAAAACAGTCTTTTAAAATTGTTATAGTTGCAGTTACCTAGATAAGGGAGGGAAGGAAGAGTGTTTCTCAGAAGCTTAGCAACCTTATGGAAGTCCATTTATTCCTTGCTGGTGTTTTGTTTTTGTTTTTTTTAAACCAGAACTACCAATTGCCAGTATCTTTCCTAGGAACAAAGTTGAGATTTGCTTTGAAACCTGAATGGGCTGCAGGGCAAATCTTTTCTTCAGTTGAATAATTCATTGGGACTTTCATCCCATATATGCCAGAAAACCCTTTTTTTTTAAATGCTCATGTTGGGTAACATTGAAGTAATTTTTAGTTAACCTATTTTCTGCAGGGTATACTTGGAGGGCCTTTGACTCTATCTGGAAACAAATAAAATAGAGACCCCTTAACAGGTACATTGTGTGTATTTCATAATATAGAGATAAAAAAATGGCCTCTTGAGCAAAAGGGCAAGGATATCATATAAACTAGAGCATAGGTCAGCCAACATTTTTGTGAAGTATCAGACAGATAATAAATATTTGAAGTTTGTGGGTCTTACAGTTTTTATTGAAACTATTTAACTTTGTCGTGCAAAAGTAGTCATAGACAATATGTAAATGAATAGGTATGGCTGTGTTCCAATAAAACTTTACTTTAAAAAAAGGTATAAAATATATTTGGACTATGGGCAGTAGTTTACCAACTCCTGTGCTAGAGTGTTTAAGGCTTCCTCATCTTTTTTATTGTACCCCAAAGTACAACTGATTCCCATAGCCCTGTTCCCAGTGGTCCACTTACACTTAAAACAACCAACAAAGCCACTAGACCAAAGATTAAACATGATTTATCTGTTTAAGCAACTTCTCTACCAAGAACTTCAACTCTGATACTGAAATTTCAATTAATACAGTACATAAATATTAAAAGTAAAGACTCTTGATATATGCATAGAATTACTTATCCATTTTTAAAAATTTTAAATTTATTAATTAAGGTATTGCATATGTGTCCTTATCCTTCCCATTGCCCCCCCCCACTCCCACTATCTGTTTAAAAAATCAATAAAATATAATTTAAAAATATATATATATTTTATTGACTTTTAAACAGGATGAGGGAGGGATAGAGAGATAGAAACATAAATGAGAAAGAAACATCATCAATTGGCTGCTTTCTGCATGCTCCCAAGCTCTAGCATGTGCCCTGACTAGGAATTGAACCAGTGACCTCTTGGTTCCTGGGTCAATGCTCAACTGTTGAGCAATACCGGCCAAGCTATTACTTTTCACTTTTTGAAAAGAAATCTTGCTTGTATAAGTGTGTGTGCATATAGTTGACACTTACAATTTCTTTCCCTCACCCTGCTATCCTTCAAGTTCATCCTTTAGTCTTGTTGAGGGCATTGTGAGTTCATAAATGTGCTGGGAGCACAGTAGTAGCAGAGCAACCAGGAAACCACCTCCTTTTTACTTTTAGCCTAACTATGGCTAGTCAGCTCCCATTTCTGCATTAGTCCCCATTTCCCTTAAAGAACCTGGATTAAAACCTGCAAGAAATGGAGGTTTCTAGTTTCTGGCAGGATATCATGGGATTTCTGGTGCCAAAAGAGTTGGTTCCCTGGTGAGGTTGTTTTCAACAGGCACTAAAACAAACAATCAATTCATCTACTTAATTAGGGAAACCATTACTCTAATCAGCTTTCTGACATCTGTTATTCAAGATGACCAGTTTTTTTTTTTAACTAAATGTTCAATTTTTAAACAGTTATCAAACATCTTGTAAACACAACACTAAAGTAGACATTAGTCACCAGTTCAAATATAGATGAAGCACAAAAGTAATAAAATTATGGAGAATTCAGTAAAGAGAGGAGGGAGGAAGAAGAGAGTTACACAATATATGAAAGTAAAGTGTGTTGTTGTTTTTCTTGAATCAAAACCAGATGATATTTTTCTGCTATATTCTATCAGGAACATACTATCAGGAGAAAGCTCACATAAGCAAATTTCACACTCACACAAATACAAAGTCTTTGTGGAGCATTCTTTCAACAGAAAGTTTTCTTGTTTTCTAAATTATCCAACCTTCACTTGTTTTACTTATAATTGTTTTTTTGTTTTTGTTTTTTTGGTATATTTTCAAATGTGCATTAATTCCATTCACGGAATGTTCCTATGTTTTTGAAACAAATTATTAAATTATTAAAGGCTTGGTGTATGAATTCATGCAACAGTGGGGTCCCTTGGCCTGGCCTATGGGATCCGGCCAAAACAAGCTCTCTGACATCCCCCAAGGGGTCCCAGATTGTGAGAGGGTACAGGACAGGCCAAGGAATCCCATTGGTGCATGATCTGCGAGGGATACAGGAGGTTGGCCAGCCTTGTAGGGACAGTGGCAGGTCTCCGGGGCATGTCTGGCCTATCTTGCTCAGTCCTATTTGGCCAGACTCCAGCAGCAAGCTAACCTACCCATTTGGCCAGACCCCAGTAGCAAGTTAACCTTCCTCCTGGTGATCAGTACATGTGATAGCAAGCAGTTGAATGGTTTAGAATATCATTAGTATATTACATTTTGATTGGTTGAATGGGCAACCAGATGACCAGACACTTAGCATATTAGGCTTTTATTATATAGGATTAAGGGGAACAGAATAAAATTATTCCTTCCTCTGATGAGTGTTTCTTTTTATATAAATGGAGTCATATTAAGACTTGAATAGTATAAAATATTTTGTTACCTTCCTCTTCTCCCTTCCCATGATCCAACTCTGACCTGCCACACCATGTTTTTCTGTTTATTACATCTGTTTTCATAGGATTCAACACAGAAGAGAACCCAGAGAGCCAAACCAATGTGAGAAAAGTGGTTGTTTCATTCTTTCTGGCCCAAGGCAGGAGCGAAAATATTCTCATTTCAAAAATAGCATGTTCTCAAAAGATTTCCATCTCAATTTTTAAAACTAGTGGGCAGTCTTAGCTAAAGATGGCAAAATCCACTATGGCACTACTGGGATTAGCACCCAATTAACTAGGTGTACGTGAGGTTTTCAACATTCTAGAAGAGCAGTTTGTTTTAGTTTTAGAAAAAAACAATATCCTGTTTCTAAGCTATAATAATACTTAAGGTCCTATGGAAAAGCTTAAAGGATTTGTATACAAGAAGTGGCTTTCAATAATTAAGTTCATTATTAATCATGTTCATGAATCAACTCTAAGTGCATTAGTTACAGATTTAAAGCTATGGTGAAAAATGTTTTGTGCACAGCTTCATGTTCTCATATTAAAGAAGTTAACCCTTTATTTCACTAAGCAATGGGAAGATAATTCCAGCCAAATCTAAAATTTGCTTTTGTTTTTATTCAGGATTCATAGTAGCCAGGTGGCATGAACTTGATTCTTCACTATTCTTTAGTATGTTAGTGTCTGATCCCTTATTCCTCCCTGTAATTTCTTGTCCCATTCCCAATCAAAGAGGCACACATCACACACTCTCCAGGAGAAAAGCAATCATTTTTCTCTATGAAGCTAATTTATCTGGTAACATATAATGTACATAAGTACTAACCTGAGTCATTGCAAATAGATGACAAATTGCAGCTATTTCTCTGGGGTTTGACTCCTGCAAAGGAAACACAACCCAGCTGATTAGCATGTCAATATCTTCTCTTATATATACTAGTACATTGTCAAGAGAATTAATAAATTTAGGCTTCAAATGTGGACCAAAAATGCTATATTGGATATAATTGGCTGGATGAATTCCACTAAGACTAAAGGAATGAGAGTTTTCATTTCTTAGTTGGTTAGCTACGAACTTGATTCTTCACTATTCTTTAGTATGTTAGTGTCTGATCCCTTATTCCTCCCTGTAATTTCTTGTCCCATTCCCAATTAATCCCTCTCCTGTCCAATACAACAGAACAATATGAATACTAATGTATCATATAGGCTTAAAATGAAATAGCCCTTACTCTTACATTCTCCTTTCCTTCTGGGTAGGGGAGTACATGAACATTCTAATGATGGTCTCAGCCCCTCATGCAAATGTATGTGTGAAATAACATCAAAGTCATGATATCATTCCACATGGGCAAAACTATAAAATTCAAAAAATATTTGTGAATTTCTACCATATTTTGTAGGCTTTATGAGGTTCTAAATATGGATCCTGCCCTCAAGGAGCTTACAATCTAATGGGTAATACTAGGCAGTAAAAAAAAAAAAAAAAAAAAAAAGTTATAGTGAAGACAAAATGGAATAATGACCAGGACAACAGACTACACAGGCATACACATAGACAGAGATGAATGGGAGATGAAATAAGTCACATTAGAACAAAAAGCCAGACATATTAACCGAAAAACATTTTCACCAAAGGTGAAAGGAGAAGTACATCTCTGATTTGAAAAGACTTCAGGGTTTACTACTCTAAGAATCTTTCCTTCATTAATTTCATCCTTTTGGCATAGTATAAGAAATCTTTAGTAAATGTGAGGGGGAAATTCTACTAAGCAAACTACCAATGGGAAAAGGTTGTTACAGTAAGGAATATTTTTGTATCTTGCTATGTCTCTGGTTCTGTCAAAATTATGTACCCAGTGCTTGATTGCTATTTTATTTCCTTTGCACTTATGAGTGCTTAATTCTTTCCTAAGAGAACTAGTTTAAACATGAACTAAAATTACAATTTGAATAAGTGTGTATGATATGGTTTCTGCCAGCATGATTTAGTTGACATTTGGTGTGTAGGCATCATGGTTCAGCTAAAATTTTGACTATGAACAAACTGAATTTAGGTGCCAAAAGTTACCAGACATGTAGAGTTCTATGTTGTTCCACAGCAATGTTACCAATATCAAAAGAGAAAGATTTCATTTTAAATATACTTGCTAATGGATATAACTCACTAGAAATATACTATGAAATCATACAATATGTAGATGCTGAGTAGTAGTATTTTTAAAATATATTTTATTGATTTTGTACAGAGAGGAAGGGAGAGAGATAGTCAGAAACATCGATGAGAGAGAGTCATCGACCAGCTGCCTCTTGCACACCCCCTAGTAGGGATATGCCCGCAACCAAGGTACATGCCCTTGACTGGAATCAAACCCGGGACCCTTCAGTCCCCAAGCCGACGCTCTATCCATTGAGCCAAACTGGTCTCAGCTGAGTAGTAGTATTTTAATATTTCTCACAATTATTGGTCTATAGCTTAATAAACTTTTCATTCTATCACATCTCATCTTTCTCTAAATTTTACTGGCACCTTCATTTCTAGTGCTGTGTGTCTTTTGCTGCTTATTTATACTGAGAATTTTCTTTCTTTGCTAAGGCTATTATATCTGTAATTTCCTCCAAGTACATGGCCATAGGTTGTCCTTCAAATCATGAGTGAGAAAACTTTGTCTGTAAAGGGTCAAACAGTAAATATCTTAGGCTTTTGGGGCCATATAATCCCCATTGCAACTACTCGACCCTATCATTCATTATAGTGAAAAAGTAGCCATAGACAATATGTTAGAAAAAAAAATGGGCACAGTACTTTTCTAATAAAACTTTACCGGTATTTACAAAAAGAAAAAAAAGGTGGATTTGGCCCATAGCTCATAGTTTGCCAACCTCTGCTTTAAATCAACCAGAAACCTTTAAGTATATCATGTATCCCTAGTCTTGCACTAGGTACTTAAAAGCGCATCTTTTTTATTACTTAAAAAGAGATTGGGATTCACTTTTTAAGAATCTTTCCTTCGTAAAATGCATCCCATTGATAATTGTCAGACCTTCTATCTCCTATGCTTCATAACCATGTCAGAAATAGTTGCCTTTATGTTCATACTACATATTCATGTTAATTATCTGTTTATTTGCCTTATCTCACCGCACAGACTAGAAGATTCTTGAGGGTAAGCATTGTGCCTAATCATTGCTATTATAACCCCAAACACTTAGTACAACTTTAGGTACCCAGTGAATAAACATCTATTCATTAAAAACCAGTTTCATTTTTAAAAGGTAGGATAAAGACAGAAAGAAAATGTTAACATCAACCATTTGTTTAATTTTACTTTAGTTATAAAAAATAAAGTCTTGATATTGATAAATCATACCTGATGCATTGAAGGTTTTTACTATAGTGATTTTAGTTTTTTCTGCAAAGAAGCAATTTAAATATTAGAGCAGAATTGTTGCTTGTTTTTTTAAAAAAACAATTTGCCATGAGTATCATTTTGGTGAAGTCCTAAGAAAATCATACTGTTGATACCTTTAAGACACTATTGGTCATCTCAGCAGAATGTATGGGAATCACATACACAGATTATAAAGCATTGGCCCAGGGTAGGTCTGGGATTTAGATTCCCATGTTTACCCAGTTAGATCACACATATTACACACCCACTGCTTGTGTAATTCTACTGCAGTTTCCATGCTCTGCTGCTGCTAGACAAATTAATGCAGACTTATACTTCAGATATGTAAAATTAAGTCACTATCAGGACCTTTAGGTGTTAGGTTGTAAAGATCAGTGATTCAGAATAATAATCTAAAATATTGCTATTATGTTCTACAAACAAGGAATTGCCCTGCCATTTTCTCTAAGAGTTAATATAATACTATTCCAATCGTATTGATAGATAAAATTATTCTCAGAGAGGGTGAGACTATCCAACTGCAGTCATACAACAGGCTCACAGCAGAACCAAGATGTAACTGTTCAGTCAGTGACTCACAGGTTAATATTAAAACACACTGAAAAAGCAAATCTTAGAAATATCTTTTCAACACACTTTTGGGACAGAGCCCATGGTTCCTTTTCCAGATTATGGAGAACCAGGTTCAGAAATCCTGGCTCTAAGGATGGCCAATTAGAAGAGGCTTTGCTCAGGGCACAGATTTACAAAGAAGCTCTGTCTCCTATGATGAATGACAAATTATGAAGAAAACACAAAACTCAGATCTTAGAAAAGCACTTAAGAATTATGTCATTATACCGACACTTTCAGAAACCTCATTTGTGTGCGCGTTATTGATGAGTTTCTGTTTCAATGTGTGACTGATCCAGGGACAATGATTGGTGGTAATTATAGAGGCTGTTATCATTTATATTATCAGGAAGAATCCTTTAAATACATTGTTTTGTTTACCCTGATACTTTCCTTTCCAGAATAATCAAGATACAACTGCAAAATGAGCTTCTAGTTCTAATCATTCAATCTCACTAAAATTCAAAATAGAATTTATGGAATTGAAAGTTTAATAATATATGATACAGACTCAGCTTTCAGCAAAGGTACAGCAACATGGACATTCATGTCCACATTCATGCCCAGTACAAGCTTTCTAGAAGATAATTGGGCAGTAGGTATCAAGGGCTTTAAGATATCAAAATGCTGACCCATTAAATCCAATCCTTGTTATGGATCCTATGGAAACCAGGATGGATGCAAAGATGTTGGCACAAAGATATCTATAGCAACAATTTCTACTAAAAAAATAGAAACAACTCTGATAATGGCGTATTATCAGGTCATTAATAGCAAGGGACTCTAGAAAATACTTGTAATTTAATATGAAGTCAAAAAGGTGAGATATAACAATGTACCTAAACTATGAGGGTGTATATGTACATATGATACTGAATGGAAATATACCAAATTAACAGTAATAGTCTTAGAAAAATAACACTAAAGATGAATTATATTTTCTTTTTATTTTTCCTATGTTTTCCATTTTTATGAGCTAAGATATATTATTGTTATTATACTAAAAATATTATTTTAGGTGGAGTGCTATTGCCATAGCAGTTTGGAAGATCAGCAATGTGGGGACACCAGAATTACAGTTCAATGTCAAAATAAAACTAGTAATAAATCAACAACTGAAGGCATAGGAAGTGGGCAAGGAGATAACCTTTACTAATCCAAAAGACCACACAAGTGAGAAACGCAAGACGCCACAGGAGACATATATTGTGTTTAGAAATAACTTGATATTACCTGTCTTGTTTAAAGTAGATAGCACAGTTGAAGTAGCATCTGAAATAAAAGAATAAAAATTAACCTAATCATTGGCATGATTAATAAACACATGCATCTTCCTAGGTTCCCTAAACATTTCACTCTTCCCCAAACCCTGGAGAAGTTAGAGCATTTTTCAAAAGCCAACTGGACATAACCAAATGTATTTGCTGCCACCCCACTTCACCACACTACCCATTCTTCAACCCCCAGAGACAATTCCTGAGCAAATATTCATTTGTTCAAAATGTGTTTCCTAAACACGTTATGTGTCTAAAACATAGCAACATTCCTGTAATTATTACATTTAAATAAACTCATTTATGTAGTTTAATATTTTGCCCCTCTTTTCTATTATAATGAAAGTCCATAAGGGACATGATATTGTCACAGTTAATACTAACTTTATAGTACTATGGTTGCTTAATATATTTTTACCTAATGTAGTTTCATTCTTATGAAAGTAATTCTAGTTTAAATTTGGAATTCTTAATTATATTCAACTAAATTTTAGGGAAACCTCATTTTCATCTTATTTCACTTAAAATTCAATTTAAAATCTATTCTATCGGTATTTATTGTAATGGAAAGCATTCTAGAATTTATGATTCTGGATGGAACTTTAGGGGGGAACGGCATGTATTACATTATCACACTTTTTAACCACATAAAATAGGACCCAAAAACTGCTGCCAAAGCTATTTTGAAGATGTGCTTTCACTGTAAAAAGTAATTGCATATAAAAATGACAATGCCTGGCCCTTCCCATTAGACCAAAATTGAATTTATACCAGTTTCAATCAGTGTGAGCTGCATTTATGATTGTTTAGCTCTTAGCTGCCAAACACATGGGGAGTTTTTATTTTGACTAAAGGGATTGTGAAAAGTATTGGGTTTTGACTGCAATAAGATGGAAGGCCATCTACCCACTAAGGGGAGGGAACAGAATGTGCTGTCCTGCCCCCCTCCCTCGAATATAACCCAGTTCTTTGTCCTTTTCTTCAGCATAATGGAGCTTTTTTAAAAAATTTATTTTATTTTATACTATTTTAAAATGATAAATCATCTGTAAAAAGGCTGTCTTTGAACACTTTGTGCCTCCAAATCCATGCTGAATCATATTGAAGTCACTGGATGTGCTTTTCACATTTAAACAATCTGTCATATAAAAAAATGTGTTGGAATTGTGTTGGTGAGCAAGCGAAATGGGGTACTCAAAATGTGGTCAAAATTTATTTTAAAAAATAGATTTTTATTGCTTTCAGAGAGGAAGAGAGAGAAATAGAAACATCGATGAGAGAGAATCATTGATTGGCTGCCTCCTGTAAACCCACACTGAGACCTGAGACGGTAACCCGTGCATGTGCCTTGAACAGCAATCTTATGTGACCTCCTGGTTCACAGACCAATGTTCAACCACTGAGCAATGCTGGCCTAGCAACGTTTCTTTTCTCTTACAGAACAGCTAGAGAGATGGAGGGCTATCTTCCCTCCATGATAATAAGAATTTTCTCATTTAACCAGAAAGTTTCGATTGCCCTCCAGGTTGTCAGTCTTGGGTTTCTTTGGGTTTTTCTTTTTTTATTATTTGAATATAGAAACTGCAACACCATTCATTATACTTATATTCATATTCATGGTTATCAATTTTCACTTGCTTTGGAAAAATTCTTACCATTTAGGCTTGTAGTTTCAACCTCTTTTGTCCCAAGGGGGAGGGGGAAACAATACAAAGATATAATTAAATAAAAAATTTAACAAATTGGGCTAAATCTAGATTTAAATTTTTTTTCAAAATCTTGCCTGGAGTACCATTGGAGTATGGGACAAAACCAATAGGAGAGTCAGCTGCAGGAAAAAACACACATGTTTTTCAAATTAATACTTTGAAACAATTATTTATTGAATTTCAAGGAGTTAGATTTTGAGATATAATCATGAAAAGAAGTAGAAAACATGAGACCAATATGTAATTAAATCTGCAAGTCCTATAATCACTAGTATGCCTTTAATCAGAGAATTATAGAGAAAGAACCCAAGGGATGATATTAGTGAAATTGTATCATTTTGCAGATGAAGAACCTGAGGCTCATGATCACAAAGCCTGCTCCTACTTATGGTGATATTTTGGAAATAAGTTTAGGAACAACAACAAAATATAAGATATACTACTTTCAAAAGTTTCAGCCAAAGAGTTCTAGAAAACATTTTATACTTTAAATATTTTTCAAGCTACAATCATGACACATATTGGTACATTGGGACCATTTGGTTATAATGACACCTAGCAATTCTTCCCATAGGATTAAAAAACAAAATAAAGCATTGCTATAAAAAAAAAAACCAAAAACATTGCTTTCACTCAATACTATATTACCTAACACAATTTCCTGGTATGCTATTTAAAAATACGGCTGCTATTAAGATAATCGAGTTGTAAATTTACCGTATCGATAGAATAACTCCACTTATGCTAAGGGCTCAGTGTACTACACACACTTTGCCAGTTTATATATTTAAAAAGATCCCATGGCTTGACCTCTACATATACACAAGAAAAGTAAACACACATATTTTACAAGGAAGCCAAGCTTTGCAGTAGGGAGCGTGATATTTAGCCCGTAAGGACAACATTTGGGTGTGTCAAGGCACTTGGCTGGACTGTCTGTTTTAGACCGCTCATGCTTTGGCTGAAACACACACACCCTGTCTGTCCTACATTATTCATTCCATATTTTGTCATTTACTACATTTTTTAAAAATTAACAATGATATTTTTTCAGAAGTAAGACAGTTCCTGAGCAGTAAGATTCAAAGTGTGGACATGGAATCCTTTGCTCTTGTGGCAGAACAAAATAATTGGTCAAGGCTGGTTTTTAATTAATGACTCTAGGTTTTTCTAAGTATTGATGACTGGTGATGCCATCCAAAAAAGAGGCCTGCAGGCAAGTTGCCCTTCCATCCCTGATGTGCACTGGCTCTTACCTTCCAATTAGTGCAGCTCTCCCCCAGGTACCCAGAACCCAGGCTGTGACAGGACCCAAAGCCCCATATACCATTCCATGGAAACAGAATGTTGCAAAGATATTGCTCTGGTTAAGTCTGATGAAGGCTATTGTACCAGAAGAAACATTACAGTGGTTTATTTTACCCTAGAAGCTTCACAATGAGGAGGCAAAATGGCACAGTAAAAAGAGCTTGGGATTTGGAGACTTGCAGTCCTGAGTTTGAATCTTTGTCCCATTGTTTAAGAGCTCTGAATAATGATGGTTATTACTTATTGAGGATTTACTCCATGTCAGGCACATGTTTCATTTCATTTAATCTCCACAATTACCCTATGAAAAAAGTTACTATCATTCTTCCCAATTGACAAAGAAGAAACAGAGGCACAAGAGAGGTGAAGGAACTTGCCCAAAGTCACACAGCTAGCAATGGAGATAGGAGAATGGTGGCTGAATTCAAACCCAACTAGTCTGGCTTCAGAGAATGTGTGGACATGGACAAGTTTTATCCTCTCTGACCCAGGTTTTCATCTCTAACATCAATATAACGATTCCTATGTTGCAAGATTGAAAGCAAAATGAAATTCCTGAAGACTCCCTGACATGTAGTACATGCACAAGAAGTAATAGCTATTATTATTTTGTTTAAATGAATTAATAACAATAGAATCTCATTTTCACACAACTGAGAATACGGTGTGAGTTGACTCACGCCTTACCACAAAGGATTGTTCTATAATATATGATGTATCAGAAATAATACAGAAGTAAGAGTCAGAGAAGCCACCTCTGTGTGATGTGGGGTAAGAACTGTGTGACCCTACACAAGGTACTCAGGTGCTCCAGGCTTCATGTCATCAACTAAGTAATGCAGGGCTGGACCACTTTATCCCTGAGGTCCCATTCCAGCTAACAGTCCTGAGTATAGATTCTGTTCCTGGTTCCTGTCAAGATGGGTCCTAGTTATAAATTTCTCTTTACTGTGTTTGCCTCTCCATTCTTATGAGTGCTAAGCCCTCATAAGCCTTCTGAAAAATATCCATTCCGTGAGGGAACTTAGGACGTTTAAGAGAACATCTCATTCTTCAAATATAAGAACATTAGCATGTTTATGTACTATGGTACATCTACACAATGTTCTTGATGCTCTTTAGACTTGTGAACTATAATACTAAAAACAACATTGAAGAACTTAAACAGTTACTGTGATGAAAATCCACAGTTTACTCCCCAGCTTTGTCCAGCCATGTGAGGGAACAATATGCTTGTCCTCTTATGTTTGCTACTGGCTTTTCAGTTATAGATTTAATTCAGAGTTTAACGTAATTCAGAGTCATGAAAAAACACCACCACCACCACCACAATTTTGTTGTATCTGACTACATGCCATATTGCATGGAGAACTTTTAGACTATTTTCCTGAAATTCCCCAAAGTCATGAAATAACAGTCTTACCAGATGGTGATAAACTGGGATTATCAGCATTGTCTGTTGAGGAAAAGGGTGATTTAAAATTAGTTTAGTTTGTATAAATCCATAGGAGAGTAACATCTTAAAAGGGAGTGAATGTAAAATAAGTTGCAAATAGCTACCAAAAGAGGGCAGTATGTTAATTTATTATTATTTTTAACAGCCTAATCACTACTTCTTTTCAATTCTCTACAAAGGCATATCTCAGGTGAAGCAATTCTTCCAATTTAACTGTTAACTGTGTCTATATGTTTTGTTATATAATGGTTTATTATGTTTTAAGCTAAAAATGATTAAGAAGACCTTTAGTTGTTGGCTAGCATTCATTATAATTTGTAAAAGTAAATGTATACATCTGCATAAATTAAATTCCCATTAACTCTGTTTCCATTTATACCTATTAGCACAGACTTTATATTATTAAGCTACTTCTTTCTTATGAGTTAAACTAAATCAGATACCTCTGGGTGTATAAACTACAAGAACTGCTGTATTATTTATTTTTTGAGGGGATAATCAGATTCCATAAAAGCAAAGTAATTCTATTTTTTATCTATGAACAATAATATATACTTATTGGAGAAACTTCAGAAATTACAGATAAACAAAAAGGAGAAAATTAAAACCACCTGTAATTTCACCCCAGAGATAAATTACATTGACATTCTGATATATATTCTTTTCTTTTGCTATGTATATATGTATATGTACATATTTATATGTATATATAAATCTATATATATCTAAATATATATCTATATCTATATATCTATATATCTATATATCTATATATCTATATATCTATATATCTATATATCTATATATCTATATATCTATATATCTGTATATCTGTATATCTATATATCTATATATCTATATCTATATCTATATCTATATCTATATCTATATCTATATCTATATCTATATCTATTCTGTTAACCCTAGAATAAAGTGGGGATTAGGAGCAATAATCTCCTGCACAGTTGAAAACCCACATATAACTTTTAACACCCAAAAAACATAACTGATAATAACCTTTTGTTGACCAGAAGAAGCTTACTAATACATAAACAGTCGATTAACACATTTTTGTATATGTATTATATGCTGTATTCTTACATAATGTAAAGTAAGCTAGAGAAAAGAAAATGTTAAGAAAATCATAAGGAAAATACATTTATGGTATTTATTGAAAATAACCACATATAAATGGATACAGTTCAAACCAATTTTGTTCAAGTTCAACTGTATAAAGATAAATGGATATATGCATATATATGTATGTCTATGTATGTTTTTATATGTATGATAAGAAAGATCATTTCACACAAACTATAACCTGATTTTTCTCCATGTAAACAGAGTAGTTAATGACTTGATAGCCTAATTTAGTTGAAATTGCCTCCTCTTAGTCTTTGCCCCTCAATATATCCCTCATGTTACTTTAATATTCTACCCGTCAAAGGATATGTTAAGTTAGCAGAAGTTTAATTTTTAAAATACTCTTGGGAAAGAGCTGGTTCTTTCAAAAGATAAACAAGATTGATAAACCTTTAGCTAGACTTATCAAGGAAATAAGAGAGAGGACCCAAATAAATAAAATCAGAAATATGAGGGGCTATAACAATTGACACCACAGAAACACAGAGGATTACACAACAATATTATGAACAACTATATGCCAATAAACTGGACAACCTGAAAGAAATATATAATCTCCCAAGCCTGAATCAAGAACAAACAGAAAATCTGAACAGACCAATTACAACCAATGAAGTAAAAGCAGTAATAAAAAAAAAAACTCCCAATAAATAAAAGTCCTGGACCACAGTTGAATTTTACCAAACATTCAAAGAAGAATTAAGATCAATCTTTCTCAAACTATTCCACAAAATTCAAGAGGAGAGAAGACTCCCAAACTCATTTTATGAGGCCAGCATTATCCTAATTCCAAAACCAGATAGACACTACAAAGAAAAAAAAAAGTATAGGCCAATATCCCTAATGAACATAGATGCCAAAATCCTCATCAAAATATTAGCAAATCTAATCTAATAATACATTTAATAGATCATAAATCATATTCAAGTGGGATTTATTTCTAGGATGCCAGGTTGGTACAATATCTACAAATCAAGTAATATGATACACCACACTGAGGAAGAGTTGAGTTTCAGGGAAGAAGGATAAAGAGTGATGCTGAAGGGCAAAAGAGGCTAATAATGGCTGCTATAGCCACCAATGGTTTCAACCTTCTCCATTGCTAAATCCTTTGAGCAGAGCTGTGATTTGATGTTAGATGTTAGAGGACACTGACTTGTCAAGCATAAAATTGGTTGACCATCTCTGGGTTGGATAGGCATGGACTCACAATCAGGAGGTAAAACCTGATGAAAATTTAGCCCAACTGTTAGACAGGTCTAATCCACATGCAGAGCTCCCAGGAGCAATGTATAGTGACGAAGGGAGGAAATCTTGTAAATAGAAGCTAGAGATTTAAAAACTGTTTCTGCCATTTTATTTCTTTTGTCATTTTTTTCTTCTTCTAGGGGACTGATTGCTCAGTGACTAATATTTTATTCACTTTCTGCCTCTCATTATGGTGCTCCACATCACTCCTCCTGTTGTAACATAGAGATGTCCCCATAGGCCTTACATTTCCTGAGTATCAGCCTCTGTTTCTCTTGGGCTCTCTCCTAACTCACTTCCCATTTATTATAACCAAAGAGGTGGTCGACATTTCCAGTGAGTCATATATTTGAGTTCCATGCCACTCTTAGGAGACAAAATATTTCCATTGTTAAAAAGATTCATAAACAAAGAAAGAGGAAAACAGTTAAATTTTTCAGATTTTCCTTTGGAAAGCAACAAAGAGAAAATTTTAAAGCATTATTCATTTATTGAAGTCTTGATTTAAGTAAAAAAATAAAATTATTGTGATGTGTCTATAAAATGTACTCAGTATGACTCCCTAGTGATTTTAAAAAAACACACAAAACACCAAAGTCCATATATTCCAATTATGATGAGCAGGAGTTTGGCACGCATAAACTTAGCATGGAAGCCAAACAGAGGAATTGGAAACTCAAGGAACTGGCTCCTCTAATGGAGCTTCTTTCCCTAGTTTCCTCCCTGAGACTTGGTTTCAAAATTATTGCTACCTCCCAAACTCCAATCCCACATGGCCAAGTGTGGTCTGACCACTGCCATGTAAATGCCTGTCATTGCCTCTCCAACTCCATATATCTAAGAACTTATCTTTCATCACCTCACATCATTTTCATATCTAATCAGTTCTTGAATTTAACAGTATTGCTGGTAAAACCAGCCAAATAATTTAAGCTGGAAATTCCAGTATATTAGTTTTCTGTTGCTGTTGTAACAAATTACCACAAATTTGGTGGTTTAAGACAACACTGATTTGTTATGTTAGAGTTCTATAGGTCACCAGTCTACAACAGGATTCATTAAGACTAAAATCAAGGTGTTGACAGGCTGTGTTCCTTTCTGGAGGCTCTAGTGGAGAATATGTTCTGCTTTTTGAGGGTTTTGACAGAATTCAGTACCTTGAGGTTGTAGGACTGAGGTCCCCATCTTCTCACTAGCTTTAAATTGAGGAATTTACCAAAATCTGAAAGCCACCCTCATTTCTCATGCCCCATTCTTCCATCTTTAAAGCTAGCAACTGTGGGATGGGGTGGGGAGTCCTTCTCATGTGCCATCCTTCTGACTCACTCTTCTGCCTTCCTCTTCCACTTTTAAGAGTTCTTGTGATTAGATTGGGCCCATCTCCCAGTCCATAACTTTAATTACACCCAGAAAGTCCCTTTTGCCATGTAAAATAATATATTTACAGATTCTAGGCATTGGGACATGGATATCTTGGGAGAGCCATTATTCTTCCTACCATACTCAGAAAGCCAGTATTTTAAAATTATAAATAATACTAGTGGCACAAAATTCATGCACATTAAAAGTGGATTAATTAAAGGAAATAATTTAATATTGCTATTTGCCCTTTATAATAGAAGTGTCAGAGATGAAAGAAAATTAGTAAAATGTATATGAAAACCTTCCTTCTGTCAGAGTTTGGAGCGTACCACGGGACCCAGAGTCAAGTCCCCGCCCACCACATGCGCCTCAAAATCAAGTGAGAGACCCAGATCCGGCTGCCCGCCCCCCCAATTGGGTTAATTCAGACCCCGCCAGTCCCACCCTTGTCAAGCCCTGCCAGGCAGGGGGAGTAGCCTCATGTCGCCTGGCCCAGAGCAGTGGGGGTTGGGGGGTGACTTGAGGTCTCTGTCAAGCCCCGCCAGGTGGAGGACACGGCCTGATATCTCCTATTAAGCCCTGCTGGGTGGGGGTGATACAGCTTGAGGTCCCCAGGCCTGGTGCTGGGGTGGGGGGCGCAACCTGAAGTCCCCTGTCAAGCCCCACCTGGTAGGAGGCACAGCCTGAGGTCCCCTAGCCAGGCACCAGGATGGAAAGCACACCTTGAGGTCCCCCATCAAGCCCCGCTGGATGGGGGGGTGTGGCCTCAGTTCCAGATCACTCTATTTAAAAATCACAGCACTTTCCCCCTTAGCCTGATCCTTTCCATATTCCTATTCACAGCACTCCTTGCCAACTAATGAGTACATATATTATTATCTATGTGTGTGCAAACACACACAAAACCCCAAAAGTGGGTGCCTTCTAACATTTTTCACTTGCTTCATCCTAGTCCCAGCCCTCTGTAATATAGAAGGTTTTTTTATGCCTACAAAAAACAATTTTCACCCTATGGGGATGATATTGCCCCCGTAGAGAATGCATACTCTAGGATTATCTCTGTTTCCTCCTGAAAAGGTATAGCTTATAAAAATAATACTTGCTTGGGTGCACCCTCCTCCCTGAGTCCCACTAATGTCTAGGGTGACTCTGCTATTGGTTGACATATTCTTTCATGACAAAGCACCTGTAATTTATGGGTTAGTGTGAATTTCTTATGGTAGAGTTTTAAGTGCAGAGGCACTTGG